GTACTTACGATTATTAAATACAAGAATTAGTTTAACAAGAGCATACTCAGTTTGATCGAGTGTATGACGAATTATTTCTTTAATTATGGTTTGAAAGGATATATATTGATTATCATCATCCATGACATCCACATCATCTAAAACAAGAAATAAGTTTGAAATTCAATAAAAATGAATTAAATACTTTGATCGAGAAATTTCTTTGTTTCAGCAGATGTTAAAAGAAATAAAAGCGGCCATGATTGTTCGATTAAAACCCATTGATCGTATTCATTCAATTGTTTAAATGATGGTACTGAGTAAATCCAACGAACAGACTCGAGTAGAACATATGATGCAGTTTCACATTGAATTCTTAGCGAATTCTCTTCGAGTGAACTGTGAGTTTCATCATTGTTTGATACATCAGACGATGTACTGCATTTCGATAGATTGAAAGATTGTTGTAGAGGATACATGCGAGCCGTTGACCAGATGGGTGATGATGTACTAAAACGAGAAGTTCAAGTAAGACGTTGTCTGTTTTTTTATTTTCAAAATGCTAAGAGAAAGAAAATGATGACCTACTTACGTAAGACTAAGAAACAAAAACGAAAATGAACTTACTTAGTCGTTGATATGTTTCGGAAATCAATTGGCATTGTCACGGATGGTGACTTTGCTACATACCCGACAGTTGGTGGTGTCCAACATTGTGTTCGTGGAAGTGATGCTGTTGGAAGCGCTTGTTTAGATGGTAGACGTGGTGCGCGTTCATTTTGTACAGCTAAAAAAGAAGATCATAAGCACGTCTTTCATTACTATTAAAGACACTCGAAAGGAAGAAAAAGCTTTTTTGTTAAGTATGATGAAAAGTAAATAAGAATCAGTTGCAGATGTAAATAATTCTCACCATTGGGTTTCATTTTCACAGCTAAACAACGTTGAAATCGACATGCTTGGCATTGATTTCGCCGACTGACATCAACTTGACATCTGGAATCACCTTTACATTTATATTCAATTCGTCGTCTAAAATTAAAAAAAAAACTCGAAACTCCAAAACTCCTCAGATAAGTGACTCATATTCCTTACCGAACACTTCGTTTGAAAAAACCACGGCAACCATCGCAACTCATGACTCCATAATGTTTACCACTAGCTTTATCTCCACATACGGAACACAGGGATACATGACGCCGTTGGGTTGGGATCATACGAGCAGGAGATGATGACGCCATCAATGAAGTTACGTTATCTAAATTGAAAACAAGAAAATGAAGTTGAAGGAACGTCGATCGACCACAGGATGTCAATAATTGACCTAATTGAAGTGGAATAAACCTTATTGTCATCATTCGATTATGTTCTCACAAGGTGGAAAAGACATTCAATTATGGAAATGACACCTGCTGTTCGAAAGACATTCACTTTAATGTTTTCCTCTTCTTTCGAAGAACACCGCATTATTTCGCAGCTTTTCTTGAGTTACGTCATCATTTTAAATCTCGTCTATACGATTCTATTAGCAGCTCATCTTTTTCTGAGCAAGCTGAGAAGCGAACAACAAAATTTGTTTGATCCTTATGAAGTCAAGTGAAGATGATCCGTTCAAGTTAGAAAACATTTTCTTCCGTGTCTTAATACGATCTTTCAACAACAGCAACAGTTATGTCACTTCGAAAATAGAAATGGAATGTAGGAACAATTGTGTTTGGATGCAATGCGCATGCGCGCGTGTCTATCGAGAGAAAAGATGTTTTTATAAATGCTTCTTGTTCTTTTCTCTCGCACAACAATTGTGTCATCGTGTGATAAGATTCTACTTTTTGCGTGCGAAATTCTTCAGCTCAGTTTTTAATGTCACGCTTCGGTGAATGCAAGAAAAAGATTCGAACACCGATAAATATGCTAATGGAATGGAATGATCACTGTGTTATCGATCGATCGATCACACTTACCTGACGAAAATATTTCTCATAAATAGAAAGTTGAGACGACTGTCGAGTCTTCCGTCAAGTGTATTGAATTTCTTACGTATTACACTAATTCTCTTCCACAGAAAACAACTCTGGTCTAATGAGATTTCAAAAGAAATTTTACTTACACATTTTTTTTCCCCGTTAGATATGAGAAAAATGATCGGCAGGCAAAAGTAGATTATCGAATGAATTTGTCAATAGAGCAAAGTGAATGCGTAATTGACTATGTGCTTTATGAACAACAAATAGAGAAGGAGAGAATGAAGAGAGAGAGAGGGAGGGAGGGAGAGAAATAGCTGATCAAATATGAAATTGAAAATAAATATTTGAACCAATCGATAAAAAGATGAGCGATGAAATCTTCTCTGAATATTATCCAATGAAAGTATTCATGACTTGAAGATCTTGAAGTTTCGTTCTCGTATGATATAGAAAGTAGCGCTAGAAACAATGTGGGAATTTACTATAAGAAAGCGAAAGAAATATCGATGACTCAGAATTTACACGATGAACGAAGACGAGAACGAATGTTTACCAATACCTCGACGGTATGATTTGAACGACAAAAACAATCGGTAAACGATATTTTTCAAATGAATTTTCTAGTTCGTTAGTCAATCGAAAGGCAAATCATTTCGGTTCAGATAACGAAACTTCTCCTATCGATCGTCGTCAATCCCGTTTGCTTCTAAACGCTTCGATTAGTACTGATAGTGGCGTCGATGAAAATGTTCAAACTCCTGTGCAATTAATTGCACTCTACGAAAAAACTCTTGAATTAGCATCAAAAAATAAAATCAATGCGAAAAATGCTTTCCATTTTCCACTTCTAGAACGTTTACCTGAAATCTTAGATCTCATCGCCTTCGATGACAAAAGTGATTCATTCAGTGAGAATCATCATGAACCAAATTTTGTCAAAGCTGGCTCAGTAATCGATACAAGGTACAGAAAACATTTGTAAACGTCTGATGAGACGATTTCTCTAGTGCAAAGATCTATGGTTACCGTGTTGATGCTCTCCATACAGAAACTCAAAAATTGAATGGATCTATTCAACAGCAAGATGAAGACGATGAAGAATCACAAAGTATTCAATCTGATCCAATAGAAATAACCAAGAAACTGTCGCAACGAAGCAAACCGAAGGCTAGTTCATATCTCACAACGGATTTATCAACGATATCACTCGCATATGAACTTGATTTTCATCCATTTCAACCGTCAAATATGTGTCAATGGCCAGGTGGCGTGGGTGATGATTCCATCTATGCCGATATGGTTTCGTATACAATGTACTCATCCAGTGATTATCCTCTGATCAATGGTTTTATTAATCTAAACAGTCCGATCAATCGTGAATACGATGACAATGAAAGAATACTTGATGTATCGATGAAAACAATCTATGATTTAATTCCATTAAGAGAAGTCATTCAAGATCATGAAGAACATGATCATGTTCTCGGTAAATATGCGAAGGTTTTTAAAAGACCATCATTCGTTTTGATTTCGATTAGGATGTCAAATACTACGAGAATTTTCATTTAACGAAAACTGCACGGCATCGTATATTGAAACCATTGATGAATGTTCAGTTTTAGATCGTTCTTTAATGGATGTGAGCGATGACTACGACGCAGAGAATGAAGTTTTTAGTAATGGTTTAAGCGAATTACGCGATGATCCATTTCAATTTTGCTTTCAAGAATTACAATCTGCTCATGTAAGTCAAATTTATTCGCCGAGTAGAATATTCACTATGCTGTTTTATTCATTTAGACATGTCCAACGACAATGGCATCAATGGATGTAACACTAGCCCAAAGTAAAGCGTCTTTCGTCGATCAGATTCCGCATCTACTTCGCGAGATGGTAAATTTAATAGAAAATATCTTCACAATATGGTTTTCTTTTCCTCATAGAGCGATCCATCTGACTACAGTTACTTCGATTATTCGAAATTGAAGTTATTTGCTGGACCTTATCTTTGGAGATATACAAATCTTCTTCCTGATATCATCGAGTCAACATCCAATCCTGAACAACGACAGCATCAATGTCGTGCTTATGTTCAATCTACACATCGTTTCAAACTAAATCTAACCAATACGGAACAGAATGTATCATTAACCGACTTAATGTTTTCGAATTCATGGACTCGAAAGATATTAAAACGACGAAAAAGAAAAGTTCTATCAAACACATTACATAGAGCTCAACAACAGACTAAAAACCATTATCAATTGAGACTTTCTCGAAAGTCGCGTCCAGTAGTTGATCTATCATCTCTAAATTATTTCCCTGATTTGAATGTACAAATGGTGTCTACCTCAGATGATTTATACTCATTGAATGATGAAGGTAATTTTCAGTTCGACCCACCTGACCCCATCTCTGAAGAAGTGCATTACGAATTCATTCGTCCTGTTCATTATGATAAGATCGAATTTGATAGAAATTTCACGAAAATCGATGCCAAGAAACTTCAACTTCAATTGTTTGATGTGTATACTTCGCAACATACAAACACATCAAATCCCGTGTCACTATCAACCATATGTGTGAAACTACTCGATCAAGGAATGATTTCTTATGATAAAGATCAACTTGTCTCGGCATTCTATTGCATGCTGAACAATTGCAACAAGAATCAGTTATACATGAAAAGCAATTCACAACGTGATGATCTTATCATACAGAAACAACCATTTGTTGATTCCACACAATTAACTTATTCACAAGCCATTAATTAAATTTGTTATACAGTGAAATTTCTCTTTTAAAATAAACATATGAATAATCACCAGAAAGTTTTAGACATGAATGTCAGTTCCGTTGTACCTCCAGTCAAAAAACAAATTCAGTCGATTACTGGATAAAAACGAAAGTAATACTGATTTTATTGCACTTGTATACTTCTCACAAAATAATAAAAGAAGGAAAAAACATGATTGTATAAATGATAATATCAAACACCGAATGTATAAAAGGAGATTGAAATACTATTATAATATGAAAGATCAGCCATCACCTTTATTACTTATAAGCAAGTAGAAGTTGTATTCCATCTGTTGATTTCAATCGTTCAATAGATTGAAAACCGATTTTTTTGAAAAATTTCGTCGAATAGAATTCTTTGGGATTTTCTGCTTCTTTGCTCGTTGTTGTCATGTTCAAGAGGATGTTCAATGCGAGTGTGACTTCATCATCTTCGTCATTGGGGATGATTAATATCAGAAGACTTGCCTTACTGGATGGTAATATATCGTACGCTTGTTTGATCTTTTCTTTGAGACAACCGTCTTGTCTCCAGATGACCATGACATCGACGTTTTCATCGAAGGAATCGATCGAAACATTCGAATAAGCTGTTAAGTCAACCAATTGTTTGATTCGTAATAGCATTATCAAATGAATTGAATCTTTGATGGAATTATTCAAAACAAGTTCGTTCAATTGAGGCATTTTATCGTAGAAATCTCGATCAATGTTTGATAGAAGTTGTCGATTAGGAAGAAGAAGATTTCGTGCAAAGTCAGTTAGTTTATAAGTGAACTTCTCTTTTTCATATTCCAGGAATTTCATCGATTTTAGACAATCTAATACGTCTTGTAAACATCGGGATTCGTTTTGGACGTAATGTAAGCTCAATTGTTCAGCTACTTGTGCACAAGTCAAACCATGATTAGATTGCGAGAATAAATCGAAGATTTGAAGTTCTAATGAAGTGAATACGACCCGTGAACGAATGAAACTTTGAGCGATTTCGAATAGATATTGTTCACTGTCATAAATAGACAATGGCATCTAGAAAAACAACATTAGTAAGAAACATATACACAAAATTGTGGTGGATTTGATACAGGACGAGAGAAAAGAATGAAATTTAACGAGCAAAGCTTTTCGTCCATAGACGAGCCATTCGATCGTAATCAACACGTTCGTGTTTGTACTGTAAACCAAGTTCTTTCATAGCACAATAATCTAAAAAAAATGAATAGAATACATTTGTTGAAGCTTCGCAGTACGAATAGGAAGAATAATTTTGTTTCTTTTCTCTCGTGAGATATCACGCGATGACTTTGTGGAAGAACGCTTAATGTATTATTTTATGAAGATGAAAGTTTGAATATTCATAGCACGACGAACAATGGAGCAGATTCGCTCGAAATTCTATTTTTAGGTAGGAAAGGTACTTTGATCCCGATCGTACCGAGGAAAAAGTGATCCAATGCTGAAGTTCTACTCACCTGGTTCACACTGAACGAGCAGATTGGCAACTTTTTGAATAATTTGTCGAATGGTTACTGTTGGCGACCAGTTTTTGTCGAATATATCATGTTTCACTAATCCCGTACTTTGATAAATATTACAATGATATATTCTGGTTTTGAATTCCAACTAAAATCAAATTGAAACGATCAAAACAAGAAGATACTCGAAATTCCAAACTCACTGTAGGTGGTGTGAATGGATAATCATCATCAAATGTAAGGAAAGCAAAGAAAGTGCCACCTTCATAGAGTGAATCAGGCGGTCCTTCGAACACAACCAACCATTGCTTCAGACTGTCAGCTGTTGGACCAGCACTAAGCAGAAAAAAAGTACTATGCAAATGAATAAAGTAAAGTTCTCTGATAGAGACCAAGTGAATGGCACTGGATTTTGCTGGAGATCGAGACACTCGCGTCGAAGTCTAGAAGCAAGACTTAGATGAAAAATTGAAGTCAATGTAATTACCGATTGATAAAGGTTGGGTTAGAACACGAACTTGACGCCATTTTTGACAACTTTCCTCAATACCAGTACAAAGTAGTGCAAGGACATAATACAGAGCGATGAGCTTCTTTTCTATTGGTTAACTGTCATCCATTGAATTTGCTTTAATAGAGGCGGTACGTATAAACACATTGGATAATATCAAGTCATTCATCGAATTGCATATCGACGACGAATTGATACTGTGCATACGTGTACGTGCATAAATAATGTCGTCTTTGAATAATAGTAACGAAAATCTCGAAGCTAAACGTCGACAAAACCTTGAAGACAATCGTCGTTTTCTTGCTACATTGAAAATCAACGATGTAAGTGAACAAACTCTTCGCAAAATAAACGAATTCCTACAAACATCAGATACTTTCAACTAGTTTATACATTGTATAACAATGACTATTCATTTCTAAATACACCGAAAGAATGTAACAGATGTTTGGAAATACATTATGTTTATTTATAACTCAAATGTGAATGACCATACTTTTATTTAGATTCGCGATGAAATCAAACAAATGAGTGATCATACTGAATATACAACCGGACGTCGAGCATTAAAAAAGTAGGTCGATTTGAAGTGCTTTTTTCATTGATATCTGTTTGTTTGACTTGCCAAGATCAATGTCGTCAGATATGATTCGTCGCAGTTCGAGAATACGACAAAATACTGTTCACAATGAAAACGTTCCACCACCGGAACGCAGATTCAAGAAGAAGAAAACCGATGAGAATCAAACAAATTCGATGCCAAAAGTTAAACTAGTAATACACAAGAGGAGATACCACTTTTAAATTCTACGAATCACCTCTTGCCTTTTTTCAGCAACTACCTGAACATATGTTAATACGATATCATTCAACGACCAAAAAAGTCGCTCTGCACAACACCAAAGTAAATAATGGAGAGACTTTGCTCTAAATTGATTTGATATATTTAGGCAAAACTCGGTGGCGAAGATGAGAGTTTGTTGATGTAATTAAACAAAAGATATATATCTGATCTTCCTGTTTTTGTTAATATTTTGAATGTCGAAAATATTCTTTGGTTTCTTTGTCTCTTAAATCTATTTCTAGATAAAACCGAGATAATGTCGTCAGAAAAAGAAGAAAACGCATCTGCTAATGATAATAAATCCGAAGAGCAAAGCGATTCATCAAATAAAACTGAAAAGGGCAATGAAAAATCTGATGATCAGAAAGATTCTGAAGAAAGTAATGAAGAATCTGAGACTCAACAAGATTCTGGAAAAACCAATGAGGAATCTGAAGAGGACAATAAGGACGGAGAGGATGATCAAGCCGGGAAAAGTGCGTCGTCTGGTGGACATGTATCAACAGGACCAGAAAGATTTGTTGAAGTTGGTGGTTCAGGCGGGTCAGCGGTACAGAAAGGTCATGGCGTCGAGGCAATGGTTCATCATTAAACAAACATTTCATTATAGTCCAGCGATTTCCAATCTAGCAGATATCTAACTTAAACTCATATTTTATTTCTATTCGATTTTTCTAATATGCTAATAATTTTTAATTAATAAATCAATGATAATCTTATTCATCAGGTTTTTTTGTTCAGAAGAAACTTCCAGTTCGAGTTGATCGCATTCGTAGAAGGTTAAATTAAAGATGGATTTAATTATTTATCCTTGTCATCTGTCTAATGTCCTTCAGATCTGAATCTGTTCTCAATTATTAATCAACAAAGAAACAAAACAACTATTAACAAATGTAAATTCTCTCACATGGTTATTACTATACTATAATCAATCAATTGTTTTCTTAATAATAAGAAAAATAACATTTAATGATCGTATATAACTCCGAAAAAGAAATTATGTAAATAATCTTAACAAGAAAGCAATCTTCATTTGAATAACTATCTTCGTATTGACTTATTTTCATCATAGATCATCAAGGTGATGACAGGACTAGGAGAAAAATATCTAGAAGTGTGTTTTTTAGTTAACAAGTAATGTCACATGCTCGAAACATTTGCACTTATGAATCAGCTGATACGGACAGACATACAATGACAGAGCATGATTTGTCTTCAAGTTAGATGATCAGTATTGTTTGTTCTTATCAGTGTATTTTTATGTATAGTCGAGATAGAATTTAGTGGTAATGAAGCTTTCCAGCTGTTGCAACTTGACTTCGAGAGAATATTCTATTGTCATGAAAAGTAAGTATTCATCCACTTGAAACTTCAATGTTGTTTCGATAAAAATAGATAAATGATATCTTGTATAGTTCGATTATACGAACTGAGAAAGACAAAGGAGAGCGGGCAATCCGACACGCGCGTAATCGTAGTTATATACACAATAAGCAGAGAGGAAAAAAACGATATGACGTTACAAAAACCTTGCTTTGAAGAGTCGAAAAAAGCGAAATGAATAGTCTATTCAGTTTGAATACTTCTTAGACGCACACGTCAGGATATAAAACAATCGAGTTTTTAAAGACTGGTAAGTAAAAGCGAGCAGTGCTTCACATTTACATCATTAACTTTTCATCTATCCTCTTGGCAATGTCTCAATGAACAAATTATAAATTAGCCTTGAATGCAGTTTCTCTTGAAGTATTTCACTTTAGACAAACAAAAAACGAAATTTGATTAACCTTGTCTTAAGCTTTTGCAAAAGAAAAATAATTTCTCTTTGATAGAAAAGAAAGCTGTCGTTCGCGCTATTGGTAAGCGTTGTTTTTATCGTCCCACTAGATTATTAATATCCTTAGATAAACTAAGATTGGTAAGCACACGTATGACGAACTATTCGGAACGAAAAATCGCATGTTTGACATGTATATTTAGCGATTATCAGATGGCAGTGTTGATGAGTAAATATCAATGTTTTACTTGAGAACCTGCTCAGATTTCAAACATTCGTTTTTCTTTTCATACTTCCAAATATAATCTGGAAATGAAATACATAAAAGATGGTCTCAAAGATCATGTCCTCAAGGAAAAAAGAACGAATATTTTGACACTGACAAAAGAGAACAGCGTCATATCAGTTCTTCGTTTTTATGACTGTCGAACTGCTTTCATTGATAGACACTATTGCTTCAGCTATGTTATTGTTTTTCTGACAACGATTCGATGCTCTATTAGTTCTTCTCTTGGATATCTGCTCAGAACTGAGAAGTTTTAACGGTCGAACAATTACGACACTCGCCGTCTGCGCCAGCGATTGACTTGGCTAGAAAGTATACCGATAATATTTCGGATTTAATCAACCGTAGCTTTTTCACATCCTAATTGAAAAAGAAAACAACGTTCCATATCCAATCGGTGTTTCATGTTATGTAAGTACAAGAATATAGAACATAGGATTTCATCATTTTCCTCTCTCAGTCCACTCTTTTCTTCTGTTGATGACAGAAAATTTTTCTCGTCAGAAGTGTGTTTACTTCGTTGAATGACATGTGCGTCGTCGAATCACCCTCATATTGATACTACCAGCACCATTTCATAAATAATCATATGATTTTCAGAATATTTTGTTAAATTAACACTCGACTATCTGTAGCTCAGCGAGTGTATATTTATAAACAAGTCGATATCTCTGTATAATGATTTCTAATTCTCAATAGGTCTTCTTGTCGTCATCAAATGCTCGTACTGAGATGATGAATGGCGAGATATTGTCTGTTGATGTTGTTGTTCTTTCTCCTGTCATTTCTAATCTTCACTCGAGATGCGTTCGCTACGAATATCATCAATGTTATTGTTGTTTTTCGACATATCTCATCTAAGACAATAAAAAAGAGAAAAGAAGGGCTATATGTGTGTACATGGAATGTCAAATATTTGCACATGTGATGATCATCGACATTTTTTTCCTTACTTGATTTGGAGATATCCCACCTGTATCCAGTGTATATTTAGATGAAAATAAGAAAACGAAAGTATAGATATTGACACTTTAAATCGACAATGTCGTCTGTATATTTTTCTCTTTCTCGCGTATTTATGTTAGTGTTATGACAAACAGTCAAAATATTTTTTCAATGCAACTATTGATTCTCTTTTCTTCTGACATCAACGGAATTTTATATAGTGAATAATCATTTATGACTTGCATTCTCTCTGCTAAATATCATCTATGCATGTCTAGTTTCTTTTATCTCAATGCAAATATTCGTGAAAGAAAGAGTTCTTTTCCTCGGCAAGGCTTGTTTGTTTTAGAATATGTCAAAGATTTTGAGCGATTGAAGTCTAGTGAACTTTCGATTAGGGTTTTTTTCTCCATAAGCACAAACATCTGGCTTCGTTTTTTCTTTTTTTTGAATACTGATGTGATATGTATATGAAAACGTTTTTTAACTGTACTGATTAAATATGTTCTTGTGAAGATTAAAATAACATGTCAAGTTTGCAAAATAGGAGAAAACGTCAAAGAAAAATAAAATGTTAAGTGTTTTTGAAGTCTTTTTTTTCGAATGAATAAAAAGGCTTAAGTGAAATTCAAGTGGAATGTCAGTCTTTCTTTTTTTTCCTCATGAATACAAAGCTCAAACAAACATTTTTCGTATAACCTTCTTTCTTGTGTGGTAATCAATTAAACAGATCTTTGATATCTGATCGCACAATCTTCGATTGAAATTTGTTGAAAAATACTTTTCTTCAGGTAATTGACGTAACCTTGCTAGGAAAACAAAATTCACGGATTTTTCAAGGCTGAAATCATTTTTGAACAAAAAAGAAAAAGAAAAGTCCAGAATGAATTCGTTTTTTCGTCGTCTCTTCTCTACATTCGCAGTTTTGGTATAAAGTCTCTTCCTCTTGTTGTTCGGTCTACATGATTCCACACACGCATATATATTTCTCCTTTTTTTTCTCTCTCTCTCTCATATTCTCTCTTTATTTCAGGTCGACCTTAACTGGAGCGGCTTGATGGTGTCGGCGAATGAGTCAACAATATTGATGATGTTCTTCATCACCATTATTCATACTAGTCGCCTTCTCCACCATCAACACTTTCTTCTTTCATCATTCATCCATTACTAATAAATACGGCTATGCACATACGAATTAAGTAGCGATGTTCTTCGGGTGTTATCAGCTCGTTATCGTTTTCCTTTCGATAATCATCAGTGCTGTTAATACCAGCAATCATCGAAGTTCTTCATCATCATCATCATTAGACCTATCTTCTTCGGAATTGATCAATCAGAATGAATGTCAATCATCATGTTCAATTGACTATTGTTTACAATATCAATTGTTGAATAAAAACTGTTCCAAGTTAATACGTGATCAATGTGATTGTTGTACTGTTTGTCTACGTTCAGAACATGAAATATGTGGTGGACATTTGAACGTCTATGGTCTATGCGAGCAAGATCTCTTATGTTATAAACCAAATCAAACTGTCAATGATCTCAATGAACAAACTGGTGTATGTATGAAAGGTAATTGAAAGCAAAGACACTATTGAAACGGGAATAATCGAATATCTATTTGGTTTAGCATGTTTGAAATTCCAGTGTTTGTCTACAAATATCAATAATCAAACAACCTGTGAATGTGCCAATCGACGTGTACCATGTGATATAACTCCTGATGAAGAAAATATGATCCTGTCTCGTACATGTGAACTAGAATCTCCGTCACACCAAAAGCGTGAATTGAGTTGGTCTACTACCTATGACGGTAAGGATAATACGGGTAGTTTAGAATAATCTATTAACAGATCAATCCATCATTGTTTGTATACTAAATCATTTTTCTTGTTGCTACATTAGCACGTATTATCCTTTTCTTATCAAACACTATCGATAAGTATAAGGTAGTAATTCTCGTAAATATGATATGTCTAGCCTTGAATCGCTTAGATGAATCGTGTATGTATGACGAACTATTTATTCTTTGATTCTGATTGACAAACAGTAAAGGTCAAACATCTGTCTGTATCAGTATTACAAGAAAGAGACGGATCTATTGTAATTTGATTGAACAACTGTTCGACATAGAGAGAGGTTTCGTGGGCCTAGCTGTTAGGACATCGGACACCGAGTGAAGATCATTAGTGGCAAGCTAATCAATTATCAGATTTTGTCAAGCCAATGAATCCATTTTCTATAATCTACGGGTAGACGAGTGACAAACACAAGAGAAACAGACATATGGTATTGATCAAGGCACGAACATTTGCCTGTGACCTTTTGAGAGTTAAGTTTGTGTACATATATTGAATTTTCTTAATGACACATTAAGATTACTCTGATAGCAGATCAACTGAACAGAAACGTGAAATGATGATAATGTCAGTTTCTTCATTGATATCTATCATTTAGCAGAAACATATCTATTTAGAAGTCTATGTCTGTAAAGAATTATCAGCACGTATGAAATAGATCATCAAAGAACTGTATCGTCTCTCTTTTGTTTCTTTCCAGCTCGAAGCGTAATGTGAGATAAACTATAAAAATAGACATACGAAGTAACGATATATGTACATTTGTCACGAATTGTATTCGAAAAATATGTGTAGAATACAAAAAAAACGAACTTTTTTCTTGTGAAAGTCGTTAAAAGTATATTTTGATGATTTAATCGACACGAAACATGTGTATCATAACAGTGATACAATCAAAACTTCTGCTTTGTCTAGATGATGAAAACAGTGTTGATTGTTCAAATATTGTTTGTCCTACTACTGCCATCAATGCATCACGTTGTCCATCAGATAGTATTTTTGTGGAAGATCGTGTATCCCTTCCACCGTTGTCATCATCTTCGTCGAACAACCTATCAGTAGTTTGCTGTGAACCTCGAGGACAATGTGTTTGTGCAAGATGTTCCAAGACTACTTGCGGAGAAAATTCGATCATTCAAATCTATCGAACGGGCAATCCGAATCTTCCTGGACAATGCTGTGATCAATATACTTGCATTAAGAGTAGGTGAGACTAAGGGGAACGTGGAGAATCTTTTACTATCAAACTATTCGATTTAGATTCAAAACAATGCTATCATGACAAGAAGATTTACAGTGAAAATGAAACATGGTCTATTGATCACTGCACAACATGTACATGTCGAGAAGGGTTTGTTGATTGTATTATGGTACAATGTCCGACATACACACATTGCGGTTATATGTATAAACCGGAAAATGAATGTTGTCCTAAGTGTGGCGGTAAGTTTTGGAAAGCGAAGGTTTGCCATGTGAATTGATTTACTTGATAATTAGGTTGTCTAAATGATCGTCTTCATGTTCAACATATGAATTCAACTTGGATAGAATCCAATGGTTGTATGCGATGTTGGTGTGAAAATGGTCGATCACGTTGTATCGCTGAAGGATGCATTGCTCCACCTTGCGACAATCCACGTCAAATAGCGAATGTCTGCTGTCCAGTATGTGACGATACTACAGACGAAGATCTATCTTCTGATGGCAAGGATTTACACATTTCCTCATCTACACCACTAGTAACAAGCAAGTGTCCTGAACTTGGAAACTGCTCGTTAATATGTGAACATGGACTAGCGAAAGATGCACAAGGTTGTTTTATATGTGCTTGTTCGACCATGGCATGTCCAGCACCTCTATGTACACTGAAAATCGATCGAGCATCCAAACAATACTGTACATGTACATCACCAAATGGTCTCAATTGCGGCGAACTAAATTGTGCTAAACATTGTCCTTACAATTACACAATAAATAAACAAACAGGTTGTCCTATCTGTGAATGCAATTCATGTCCAGTATTGTCTTGCAGAAAGAACTGTACTTATGGATTGAAACGCAACGAAATTGGCTGTCCAATATGTGTATGTAAAAGTAATGTTAGCATACATATTAACGATACAAAAGCAACGGATTTGATACCCCAGTCGTGGGCACGACAATGTCTATCAGGAGAATTTTCTTATTCAAATGGTGAAATATGGTTTGACGGTTGTCGTCAGTGTCTGTGTCATAGAGGAGAACATCTATGTGCACTTATCTCCTGTCCAACTCCGAAATGTTCGCAGCCAATTCTTCTACCCAATCAATGTTGTCCTACATGTCCAGGTACTTTTCTACTCTTTGACATCGATTTTCTGTTTCTATTATCGTATCTCTAGAAATTACTATGTTACCTCAACCCATTCCGTCATCACAAGTATGCTATGCCAGTCAGTATGTAACTGGCGAAGAACTTGAATTTGACAAATGTACAAAATGTATGTGTCTACATAACATTGCATTCTGTAGTATATTGCTATGTCCTCCACTTCGTTGTTCATCTCCCATTTATGATTCTTCACTTTGTTGTCCCGTATGTCCACCGAAATTATCTGAACCGACGTCTTCAACGGAATTAGCGACTCTGGATGATGATAATGATATTTGCGTTCTTGACAATGGAATAGTTAAACACGCAGGTGAATTATGGAAACATCATGATTGTCAATCGTGTCTCTGTCCACGCGGTGGTAATGGACGTATCGAATGTTTTCCACAAACATGTGAACAAAATCTACCATGTTCCAATCCAGTTTTAAAAAAAGGACAATGCTGCCCATTTTGTCTTCCGCATACAGCTACGGTTTCTGTCTGTATTTTCAATTATGTTCAATATCGTTCTGGTGAACATTGGAATGTAAAGGAAAAAGTTTTTTTCATTCATTTGTGAATGCCCGTGTTTTCATTTCAGGTCAGCGAATGTCACAGTTGTGAATGTCTATACGGCACTATTGTATGCCATCAACATCGATGTCCTTCGTTGACTTGTGTTCATACAGTAACATTATCCGGACATTGTTGTCCTATTTGTCGTGATCAATTATCGTCGATCATTGGTGAAGGTAAAGGTACGCATTCCATAACTTCAAATTTTCGAATAGAAATCCATGATTCTTCTTATACTTTAGTCCCTATCTCTCAAGCTCGCTTTGGTGTAACAGTTATTATTATTTTTTGTACTTTGATCCTTATTCTGATTTTGATTATCCTGATCCTCATTTTTATTCTACTTCGCGGAGCACATCAATCTCGTTCATCTACAAATCAAACACCTCCGACGCATCATCTTTCACCGAAAATGGCTCATCATTCATCAACGATGAATTTCAAACCATCAAATCTATACTCTTATGTAAAATACGATCTTATGGCCAAGTCAAACGAGAATCACACTTTCAAACAAGGTTCATCATCAGTGGAACAAGCATCGACACATTCAATGATTCGCACAAATACAACAACAACAGGAGCAAGTTCATCTAATCATGAATTCGAACCTGGAACGTGGACAACTGAAGATGAGATGATGTTACATGGCAGCGTTAGTAGTGGAAACGATGTCGATGTTGATCATGATATAAGTAGCAGCGACTTGGATGAATCTCATCGACAACAATTATCTCAACCTCAAATTCAAATACACCCGAGACTTCCAAACATAATCTATGTTTAACTTCTCTTGTAAAATATTTATCATCTTTTTGGTAGAGAGATAATCATGATGTTTTCCTCTGTAAATAGAATCTCTTCTTTTTCTTTGTTCTCAGATAGAACTGGCAGTTTTTATTTTCTTTGTATTATAGAACGTTGAGAAATGATGTGTGTGTGTGTATTGGAAGCATTCTGTGGCAGCTTTTCTAACCTTTCTATACTCATGTATTAAAATAAATGTGGATTTTTCGTTTTCTCATCAGACTTCAGTGAGAATAGAGCATGCTTGTTCTGCCACCCGACATGAAAGAAAGGAAAAGAATGTCACTGGTTCTCAGCAATCGTGAAGCGTCATGTCACAGTGTTTCTTATGCACATGGCGTGATTCTCGAACGGAGTTGTTTTGTTCGCAAAATAGTGAAGGATAAAAGTGAATGTTGTCCTGCTCAGAGAACCTTTTACAACTAGGAGAAGAAAAACTAAGTTGAGGGAGATAAGACAACGTAAAATAAACACATTTATCAAATTAAATGAATGTAACCAATGTTTGATTAGTGCAAAAATGGTATATTCCGATGAATTCTCCTCTTTTCTTGATCAACATCGAACAAACATTTTCATCGTCATTGCTTTCGGTAATCAAATTTTTGTATTATTGACAGTTTTTACATGGAATTAAATCTATTTAGTAATCAGTTCATGGTTATACAATAAGTTTCGTGTCAACCGAATATTCTTTCCAAGTAAATGTTCGATGAGAGGTAAAACTATTTTAATCACGGGTGGTGTTAGTGGTATCGGTTACGAAACAGCTAAAGATTTACTTCAACGGAGTAAAGTAGAACAAAACTATTTCTAACGAGAAATGATCCATTTCTAACATATAGACGCACGCGTTATAATTGCTGATTACAATATGAAGAAAGGCCGCGAAGCCATAGAACAACTATGGTTGGAAACTGGATGCGAGAAGAGTCGTATTCGATTGATGAAATGCGATTTACGATCATTTCGATCTGTTCGTCAATTTGTTCAACTATATAATACGGAAGAACAACGACTGGATGTTCTGATATGTAATGCTGGCATTGCGTGGGCACCGGAACTTCTTACTGAAGATGGTTTTAGTACGGTCATGCAAGTGAATTACCTCAGTCATTTCTTATTAATCAATCTTTTAATGAATAAATTAAACGAATGTCGACCGAGTCGAATCGTTTTCGTTGCATCGGGTGCACATCGAAGTATGTATGAATTTATGTGAAAGATAATCAATGTGATGACCAATTTCCGTTTAGTGGTTCGATCGATCGATTGGTCCGATGCATTTACACAATTCAAAAGCTTTCGTATATGGGGAATCTATCCAATGTCCAAAGCATTTACTCTACTATTTGCTCTTAAACTTAAACATACACTAGATTCAAGTATATCGATAATATCTCATTTGATAGCTAAATGTTTCTGTTTGAATTGAATAGATGATGTTGCAATATTTGCAGTGAATCCCAGTTGGGTGTGGACATCTATTCAAACACCAATGCGTGAAGCGATTGGACTCATTCTATTTCTTATCTGTTATCCAATATTGTATGCACTGAAGTTTATTCTAGCTAAAACACCACAAACAGGAGCACGAACGAGTATTTTCTGTGCAGTTGAACCATCATTACAGCATTCGAAAGATTTGTATTTTGAGTAAGATATTCGCAGATTTGGATACGGATGCCAATGTTTTTTTTTACGTATGTGCATAGAGATTGTAAAGTGGAAACCGTTTCATCGTTGTGTACTAATTATGCATTGGCTGATCAGCTATGGGAAATAAGTTTACAAGCAGTTGGACTTCCAGTATCTTGAACATCTACACATAGTTTTCTTTTGAAATTTCAATAAAATGAAGTAGAAAAAAAACAGTCTGATTTTTCGCTGAAGTGACAAATCTACTATCTTTGAAGATCGTCAGTATTAAGTTCAACGAAAAACGATTATACAGAGGTCAGTAGTAGTTTCTCTATTTAGCAATATTCGATTGTTTGATTGGTATATTATAGTCAAGTCAAATAAGTCCTTTCAAATATCTCATCTCGTCATTTATTCACTCAGAGCAACCAAAGGTCTTTCTGTTTAACTTTATATCAAATCGGATCATCGTTATGACTGAAGTTGTATCAGTACCAGTGCCATCAGTTCCTCTTACTACTGTTGATAATATATTTTCCATTACTCATCTGTTCTTTGATCAACTTCGTAGACCAATTCTTCTTTTTGCAGGAACAGGTATGTTCATATTTGGATTGAACCAAATCATACAAATCTTTCCAATCATTTTCCTAGTAATAGTAGCATGGTCATACAACAAGTTTTGGGTCAATCGAAAGTTTTATCCAAGTATGCAATTAATGCAAGGTAAAACTGTTCTCATCACTGGTGGATCTACAGGTGTTGGTTATGAAACAGCAAAAGACCTTCTTCGGCGAGGTTTGACGTCGTCAATTTTCTTTGTATCGGTCAAGCTGTGTCATTCTAGGTGCTCGTGTGATAATCACGTCTGATGATCTTTACGAAGGTCGTCAAGCTATCCGAAAACTTCATGCAGAAACGGAATGTGACGAGAAAAATCTGCGTTTGTTGGAGTGTGATTTATGCTCACTTGATTCTGTCCGTCAATTCGCTGAATTATTTAACAATGAAGAAGCAAGACTCGATGTCTTAGTTTGTAATTCTAGCCTAATGTGGTCAACATACGTTGTCACCAAACATGGATTCAACACAATCATTCAAGCGAATTATCTCAGCCATTTTTTACTCACAAATCTTCTTTTGAATAAATTAAAGCAATGTCGTCCAAGTCGAATCATCAATATCTCGTCCGGTGCACATCAAAGTTCGAGCAACAATGACTTTCCAGCTAACCATCAAACAATTTGTTTCTTCTTACATTCTAGTTGTTCAAGATATCAATTGGTTCGACGCATTGACCCAATTCAAAAACAATCATCTCTACGGTGCTTATATAACATCGAAAGTATTTCAAATATTATCAACGTATAAATTAAAACGTGATCTCTTAGCAAGTTAGTTCGGTTTTCCGTTGCATTGAATCGATCTGTGTATGTTTAGGTGAGGGAGTCAATGCATTTGCAGTGAATCCAGGATGGGTTTGGACGTCAAATCGTTTGTCATTGATAAGAGCATTTGGATTCTATTCATTTATGATCATTTATCCAATTCTACGCTTGTTAAAAATTGCTTTCGCAGTCAAATATAAAACAGGTGCGCGAACAACGATTTACTGTGCTGTCGAACCAACATTAGAACAATCCAATTATCTCTATTTCGAGTAAATTATAATGTAAGACATAGAAACGATCATTTGTCTCATTTTCTAGTCGTTGCATCCCAGACCGGCCATCGTGGCTATGTACTGATGATCAGTACGCTGATCAATTATGGAAAATCAGTTGTGAAGCAGTAGGACTTTGAGATTCCTCATCTTTTGTGTATATACACCATCTAGTCCAATGTTTTCTGTATGTTTATTCAAGCAATTATCAGAATTGTAATTCTCGCAATCAAAATAAATATCTATTTTCGGTACAACTCGTTTCATTTCAACAAATATCGACATTTAAGTGCAAAATTTTATTCGTTATAGCTCGCAGAATGAAAACCTTTTAACATACACGAAAAGGAAATTACAATGGTAACATAATTGATAAAGACAACAAAAATATCGTGTTACATCAATGCTTGAAATTTGTTAAAAGCTTTTCTTTTTGCAAAAACTGTACTTAGTTTTATTCTCATGGCCTTCAGGCACGTGATTCTTTCGTCAGTGGAACTCAAAACAATCTTATGTCGTAAGTTCAGCATCGTATTCAGCTTTAATTTGGTAAGTTATACTAAACTTGTCAAAGATTTTATTTCATTCATTGAAATATTTATAAAAATAACTGAGAGATATAGGAAAGCTTTTGTTCTACACCCAGATTCCACTTGGACACAATTTCCAAAGCGTACTATTCACAAATTGCAAACGAACAGGCATGAGAACGTCTGTTGTTGTACCTGTTGATAACGATAATGGTGAAGTTGTTGATGGAAGTGAATTGTACTGTTGTGGAGCGGAGAGATTCGAATGCAAATTGTATGAAGGATGAAGAAAACCTTTGAAAAAGAAAAAAAGCCGACGAATGAGAATGATCAGGATTGAATTCAGTCTTAGATGTGAATGAATATGACATGCGAAAGTTTGGGAAGCGGAAAGCAAACCTCAGCTAAAATTTTCTTTTTAGATTTACGCTAGAATTCAACAAGAATATGTTGTAACACAGAGAAGAATATGTTAGATTCGATCAACTTACTGTTGATGAGCATATCATCTAATTTAATTAGTTCATTTTCGAGGTTATTGATTTGCTGTCGACGTTCTTGTATAATTCGTTCGATTTCGTCATTATGTTGGGTTAATACATGTACTAAATCTTCTTGTTGAGTTAACGAAGTAGTGCATCGCTCAAGATCGTGTTGATATTGATTAAGATCCTAAGAGGAAATTGAAATGAATAATTGAAGAATCTATGAGTTCGAAACCTTTTTCTCGTGGAGAATCGTCTTTTGTATTTGTTCTACATCATTATGTATTTGTTCGATATTTGATTGAATTTGTTCTTGTAATTGTCGTTTTTGTTCGATTGTTGTTGAACAGCGTGTTATTTGATCTTGCAGATGTTCGTAATTAGAATGTAGCTTTCTTTCATAGTCGAATTCTTTGTCTAATTCATTCTTCGAATATTCTTCCGAATAGACTGGACAGTCTGTAGTTAACTGACTGTCATGATCGATCAGATGGATGTCTTGTTCTCGATGGGCGATTTCTGAAGAAAAAAAACAAAGTTAAACGAATAGGAAATCAATGATTCGCTCATTCCAGAAACCTTTTTGTTTTTCATTTAGTTCTTTCTGTTGTTGCTCCACTTGAATTTCTTGCGATTTGAGCATTTTCAATAGAGCAATATACTGTTGTTGCTGTTGTTGTAAATGTGCAGCATTGTTATTCGGATTATGATGAACAATACGGAATGCGCTCGATTCATTTCCAGATGATGATGATAAGGCAGATTTAGGTCGTGAACGGCGAGTTGCATGCTGATTATCTAACGTACCTAAGTCTTGTTCAATTATTTGAACTGGTGTACGTGACGAACGTTTCTTTTCGATGAAAAATGACACTGGCGGCGAACTATCACTACTGTTTAAATGATTATTATTGTTGTTATTGATATTCTCTGATGGAAAGATATGACGTAAATGTGAGCGTTTCTTTTTTTCCGAAGATTTTATTGATGATGACGATGATGATAATGTAGCCGAACCATTATTGTTATTATATACTGTTCGAAAATGACCAGATGTCGAAGATGATGATGACGACGAGGTAACAGCTGAAGGTACTGAAATATGACCGATGATTAGTATTGTTCGAAAAGCAAAACTTAAGAAAATTCCTTTCGAACCCATCGTTCTCTTCTTCTTTATGATTGTTTATTTGCCTTATCCTACATCATTAACTTTCTCGGTACGATGGCTAGTACTCTTTTATTTTTGTTTCACATGCACAACGATGAACTTTACATTGGACATATACACATACATGTATGTGTATGTATGAACGATTGCCGGCTGTACATGTTAAAATATGTGTCAAGGTAGATTGTGTACATAGTTGTAGTTAAATACTAGTCAGTGACTTTTCTCTGTCATCAATGACGACAAAAGAAAAACGGAGTTATGAAATTTATTCAGAGTATTTTTGGAAATTTGACCTCTCGATTGCTCTAAGCTTGGTTAAGACAAGATTGATCATCTCCAGTTCCAATACTCTGATATATGTCACGTATATTGCGTCATGTTTATTATTTAAAGTTGACAGATAGACAAACAGATGGTGACAACAGCCGTTCATCAATCGATCCTATGGAGTATACTAATCTTTTTTAACGAACATGCAAACGACAAGCCGATTAGAATAGAAGTGCTTGATATTAACTTCATTCGTCTTTCTTATTCTCTCTTTTTTCTTGTCGGTATTATATATTTACGTATGTTGTTCAATCGCAATGAAAGGATACTTTGTACTGTTTGTTGTCTGATGCTAAGTGATCTACATAAGTATATGTATGATTACATAGTGTGTACGTGGTACTACTACTTCGCTCGACAAAGGAGTATCAATAGATCATAATAATGGTGCTGCTTTGAACTTTTACGTGAAAATAACGCATTAGACCGAAAGGAGTAGATGGATAATGGAGAGACTTGAATAGAAAAGAAAAGGTGCAATACAAACACTTGGAGTAGCCATCTTGTCTCTTAAGAAAATTTTTATGACATGACATGTGTACACTCAAGATTAAAATATAAAAAAAGAAGAAGAGGAGAAGAAAATGATGTATCAATGCAAATTATATCTGCTTGATATGCTTCAAAAATATGGTGCCTCACTGAATCAAATTACTGGTCAAGGTTGTGTATATGCTTAAGTGTGCTCTATCTCGACTTGTAAAACAATAAAAAGCAACGAAACATGAACATACTTTCTACAGTTGACTGTTGTTGGATGGGTGTTTTTCGTCCATCTAAGCTTTTCGAACGCTTTTGTTTTTGTGACAAGTCTGGATTTTGTCGGAGAATATAAGTCCAATCGGGATGATGAATGAGTTCGTGAGTTAATTCATGTGGTGATAATGTTCGCTGTGCTCCATCAGGTGCACGTTCGATTAAAGAGTATCGTCCAGCTTTTCCCTTATATTGAGCTAATGCAATAATAATATCATGAACCGTAGTTGTTGGAGTCAAATCACAGATGATACGCGCAACACCATCAACATACACTCGAAGGTCCATACTGGTGCATCGTGTGTTGTGCTTTATTTGAGAATATAGAGAGAAGAAGAAAGAGAGAAAGAGATGAAGAGAGAGTAGTACGAACAGAACACATACAACAAATTTTACAATCAATCACTGATGCCTAGTAAGAGAGCAGTCGTCGTCGTCACTGCTATCGAACGAATGTAACAAAGAAAAGGGAAGAGATTCACGTCTGAGCAAATAAAGAGACAACAAGAAGAAGAAGAAACAAAATCAGATAGAAATAGATGAACATATACATCTACATACAATTCAATGTGTGTGTATTGAGGCTTGCCAACAACCATTCAATCATTGTCAAATGAGAAATATAGTATGGACTATCATCTTAAGATATGTGCATACATACAAGGAAAGAAATACTACCTCGACGTGAACTAACAATGAATACATAAGCTTAAGTTGACCGTATTTGAAGAAGAAAAACGAACGAATGTATAAGATGATATCTTCATCTATTAAATCACTTCAAGTCTTCTTTTCCTTCATGGTAATCAAATAAAAATCGACAAGTACGAATTAGAATATTCACTTTAATATTCTTGTAAAACATAGTTAAAAGACAAAATATTTTTCTCTCATGCAAATTTGAATCAAATAAACACAATAGTAACTTTTCTTTCACAATCACTATTCAAGTAACCATTAATTTCGAAGGATTAACGATCTTAATTGTCAACTGATATATTCAAGATTATAAAACAAACGTTTCTATGACGTAAAGTGTTCTTTAAGTGTACATGAATCGATTGTCTCTTAGTAACAAATTCATTTCATCTAGTTTCTTCTTTTCTCTGTCGAAAAGTGACGAGTTGTCTGACACATCGCATTCCCGACGAGCATTGTTCGAAATCGAATCGAATCGGTCATCCTTCTATCTAGCAGACAAGAAGGAAAAGAAACGAACAAGTAGTGCATAGTCCATCATTCATTTGTTTGCATCAATAACATTCGCTCACACGTTTGAAACGTAGAGAAAATGACTGCTGTAAGAAATGAAAAAAAATTTGATCGTTTCTGGACAATTACTGCCGGATCTTTTTGTCTATTATCGTTAGTTTTTACCATTATCGCACTACGTACCTCGTAAGTACAAATATTTCACATTCTTTTGTATGAAAAACGATCATATTTTCGTCTTTGTAGTAGTTGGACAATCAACGAACACTCTCCGAATGGCGAAGTTCAATGGCACGGATTGTTTTATCGTTGTACTCGTTTGAAATGCTTGACTGAGTACAGCGAAAACTTTTTCGTGATCTTTCTCTCGATTATAAGTGCAATATTTTTACTGATTGCAACTATTTTCATCTTTCTTATGGGTGTACATAGTTTTCCTCGTCGGCATTTCTATTTGACACCATTGTTTGCATTTATTGGGGTGTTATTATTGTTTGTTTCACTTGTTCTTTATGCACGTTATTCAAAAATTAATGGTATTAGCGCACGTTTAATAATAGCAGCCATTGTTTTGGGCTATGCTAGTTTCGGAATCGTCGTCTTCATTGCTGGAAGATACTCAATTTTCTATCAGAAAAATCCGGCTGATTTTCATTATACAAAGACCGAAACAAATGAAGAAACGGTCAAGCAAGTCGAAGAAGAACGAACAATGCCTAGTGAAGAAAATTAAGATGCAATGTTCGTAGAATTCTTTTCGTATAGGTGTGCAAAAGAAGTGTAAACTAGTCTCTGTTGATTCATGATCTTTCTAATAAAATAATCCTGTTTGTAAATCTTTACCTTCGTGTTAAAGATGTTTGCATTTAATTACAAAAATAAACTGAAGCAGAATAAAATGGCAATTGTCAGCATTTTATTTGCATCGAAAAAAAATTTCATAAAAAAAAAAAACTTCATATCTCAGACATGAATCCGTATGCTTAGATACATAGATATTAAATAAAAGAAAACAGATGAATGAAATGAAAACAAAACGAGTTAAACATCTGATTCCTCAAATGAATAAGTTCGTTCACTACTTGTGGTGCTTTTAGATCTTTGAAAACCATTCGGTCGACGACCTTTCTCGCTTCCTTGTTTACTACTAGCATCATCGTCATTATTATTATCATCATCGTTGTCGTCAGTATCTTCAATACTTAAGATCATTCGAGCTGCTAATCGATCATTATATGACTCGACTGTTCGATTCACGTCTTTTGTGATAAAAAACAATGTTTTTAGACCGTCTTCACTGAATACTCGAAGACGGATTGACTGATCACTGGGAATTCCCGCCAAATGTCGAAGTTTGATCTATTCAAGACATATTACGAATACATCAAGCAAATCAGTAAACATACTAAAAGATTTTCAGTTGTCATACTCTTTTGTATGTCACATAATTGATTAAAAAATCCATTATATTGAACAAATAAGGTAATCGTCGATGGCGATGTTTGCAAGTCGCTCGATGACGAAGCCATACCGCGAGATTGTAACTTAAGGAAAGATAAGATTGCATTTATAAAGTATTCTTTTTCAAAAAAACTAATTTACCTCCTCAAGTTTTCCTTTCACCTCTTGTAATTCACGTTGTGCTTTCATCAATTCTTGAACAACAGGATAGAACTTTTCTTCCTACATTGACAAAGTCATTTTACCGAGAAATACATCAGTGACTCTAATTACGTGTTGCTTCTGATAATCATTGATTAGAATCTTCAACATGCCTTTGAATGTCTTATTCCTTTCGCCATTCATGATAATTGGTTACAATGTTCACTGCTAATAAATTGTTAACAAGAGAAAAGTAGTCGTTTGCCGATAAATTCTGAGTTTTTAGGAGTGAAATGTTCCTCTCCGTGTTGGTCTTTTCCTTTTAACGTTGCATTTTTACTTAGGTTTTCCTTTCTTTGTTTTCATATTTACGAAGAGAAATGAGAAAAATCGAGAAAGACGAATGCAGTAATTCTTCTCGTTAAGAGAGACGTCTGTCATCTTCCGGAAGGAAATCATAGATTTAACGTCCAAAATTTATTTCTGTCTTTGTTTCACGATATTCAACATGAATTGATAATAGTTCCACTTTATGTCATATTCCATGTCATACCAGAAATTACAGGCGATTGTCAGCGGAGAATCTTGCTCGACACGGTGAAACCACAGTGATGGCAAATAGAGAAGTTCGCCGGATCCAATGGAAACTTTTAACGGGTTAACATGCTGATTATGTTGAGGAAAGTTTTCATCATGATCGAACCATGGAACTGCAGCATCGTCTGGGACAATAACAAAGTTGTCAGCGGATTTTAATTCAAGACCGTCATTATCGACGGTTGCTTGGGTGGAATTGTATCTTTCATAATGAGCTTTTTGATAAAATTTCTGATCGAGCCAGTAGAGATCGGTGGGAGGATAAAGAATGAAATGTTTTCGACCTTTGATAACACCATAGAGATTTTCATAAGGGTCATGGTGAAGTGTGGAGACTGATTTGGATGTACCAATCCAAAGATTGACGGCATCGGGTGGATGACCTAGAAAACCAAACGGAATATGGTCTTAGTTCGATAAAGGTGAAAAGAGATTAAAACGAACCGAAAGCCTCTCGAACCCAGTCTAATTCCTGAATATCTTTGTTTAGCTGTTGAAATTCCGTCGTAAATGAACTGTTCTGATGTTGACAATAAACTATACCATTGTACTGTATTTTCCCGTCAATAATATCCATAAAATGATTGAATGGCATCTTTTCTTCTAGAGGCGTTACGAAATATTTATGCAATTTAACGCTATCTCCATAACCATCCGGAGTTATATCGATGGTTACTAACTGATCACCTAGTTGTGTTCGTAGATACTGCGAATCAGTCCATTTGGATAAAGCAGGCCATTGATTAAGTGCACCTTTAATCACAACGGGTTTGTTTCGACTAACATAATCTCGATAGAAAGTGAGTGGTGATGGAACGTCGATACGGGATATAGAACTTTCTAAATAAAGTTCTCGAGCTTCTTGCGACAAACTTCGAAATGGAGAATCATCATTCGACATAACTGTCAATGAATCATCTTCTGTGTAGAACGCTCTTATAGTAAAGAAATGATTGAAGAAAGACTATACCTCTATAATTCGTTTACAAGCAGAGGACGCTTTTGTGCATATGAATTATAAATAAAAATTTCCAAAATATATTATTGATGATACATTCAAAAAAGTATTTACCAACGTTCCTGTTTATTCTTTATAACATGCTGTTTTATTTATATCGTATGAATTTCTACATTGGAATTAGCAGATGTCAAAGTATTCTTGCCCTTCAAATTGCATCATTGTACTAATTGTGAACGATTGCGGTTGCCTAGATCTCGAATTTCTAACGTTGGATAAAGCCATGATCTGAGATCTTCCTTACGACCCAGATTTTCCAGTGCATACGCTGCAGCCTGCACCATCTTCTCATATGCAAATATATTGATGTTCTCAATCGAATCACATGCTTTGTGATAGCATGGATCTTCGGTTATATCCGGAATACCACCCAAGCCTTGACCCAGAATCGCATCATATCGATTGCGCTGTTCCACGCTTTTCACACCACTAGCACCAGAAAACAAACCACCTGCAACGATACCTTCAGCTAGAAACGGACCATAGTCACTCCGACCACTGAAATCAGTGTAGTCCCACGGAAGATGCTGTTCAACGAACCAGTCACGAAATAGACTCGTGATCTTGTTACTGCCAGGCAAAGCTTGTGCGGGAGTGTCATTCTTAGCCGTGCGACCATCATAGATGCCGAAGATATAGTTAGGCGATGCAAGCATGTCATAGTTGAGGTTGACGAGATAGTCAGAAAGGCGTTCACCGATGATGGATGAGTTCTTTGCTTGTTTGACATGATGATCAGAGCCTAGAAGACCGATTTCTTCTGCACCCCACCAACAGAACCTGACTCGATATTTGAATTTGTGATAGGAAGGTGTTCTGAAGAGTCGAGCGAGTGCAACGGCCAGCGCAAGATTCGCTGCGCTGCCACTCCCTGTGAGAAGAGAAGAGAAGTGTATTAGAAAGTATCGTTAAGATGAATGTTCTCACCATTGTCATTGATGCCTGGACCACCTGGTACACTATCGCTGTGACTGCCAATGATGATCGTTTGAGTAGGATCGCCCGTTGGTGTATCTGCACAGATATTATCCGAAGGAAAGGGTTGTTCATGAGTTCGATTGATATTGATGAAAACACGAACGTTGTTAGATCTATGTTGAACAGCATCAGCCAGTTTTTGACCAAGTTGAAATGAAAGAAACAAGGCAGGCAACGTGTTATTTTCACCAAGTGTGACAAAGACAGGCGCACGACGGTCAGCTGATGTGCCATCATTGTACAAGAGTAGAGCGGCAACTCGGTATTTACTGGCGAGCGCACCTTTTTCCAGAAATGTACATTCACCTCGTTTAACTAAGACTACACGACCGGTAGCCGGTGGATTCGCTCTTCTCCAGTCATTATCGGTACAACCTAGATTAGGAATAACAGTTAGTTCAAGGGGAGCAGCAAAACGTGCTGAAGCCGTGTATTCGATATGATAGAAATCACCAGCGAGTTGACTGCTAGAATATGAATGATTGCTTGAAGTACCATTGATTGTTGTAATCAGAATAGGTGGACGCGCAAGTCGTTTCGGTACTACTGTAAACGAGGTTCTACTGATCTTGAAATTTGTATTTGCGGTGAGATAATTTGTGATATAATCCAACGTGCGGTTAAATCCTAATGTGTTAACTGCTCGAGTTCCATTCGACATGGTCGCGATGCGTTGAAATTCATTCAAATGGCTCATTACTTCATCGATATAAATCGACGATGACAAGTGCGAGTCGGTGGATATTTGTCGTCCTTGGAAATTAATGATCGACTTTTGCGTATAGATTCGAATTTCGTCAACTTTCTTGTTAATTTTAGTAAGAGCTAGAGCGGTAAGAGTAAAAATAACAACTGAAGCCAAAATGCCTAGTACACTGATAAGTATGGTGATTGCTTTAGATGTTTGCATGTTCATGTTTGATGTTTTGTTTTCGAATGTTCGTATTCACTCGACAGTATATTTTGAAGATTATCAATTGAATGAAATCGGAAGAGGTTAGTGTGATTGTAGCAAAAAGAGTCGTGCACGGGTATTTGACATTTACATAAAGAGATTAATAGAAGGTTAGCACTCAGTATCGCATCCTGTTTTCTTCTTCAATAAAGAAAATAAAAAGACGTCACTTTCAGTTGACTAAATACCACGATGGTATATCCCTGGTCAAAGTAATTGACATATATTCATTGCTCATAATCAGCACAAATAGTAAGTTTCGAATACCAATGTTTGAACTTTAAAGTGCAATTGAATTACTCATTATTCAACGAGAACTTTTGTCATCTCATCACGGCGGCAATGTTTATGGCGAGAATACTATAAATAAAAATATAATTTTCTCGGTCTAGTTCGAGCCGTCAGTTGGTTATTAGACACTCGTAATAAAACTAATTTTATTCATGAGCGATCAGAACTTACCACTGATGGTGTTAAATATGCAAATATTGTTTTGATCATCACGGAGTTGCATAGGAATTTTTTGAAAATATATTCACAAAGTTCCAGGAGAAATAGACACTTGTTTACTTGGAGTAAATTTAGAACTAGAAGAGTAAAGAACCATCATCAGTTCACCCTCTGACACGAATTAAATTCAAAGTTCAGGAGTAGTCTTATGTATTTTTAAGTATGAAAAAAATAGTCAGTGCAAATGATGTGTATCATCAGTTACGGCATTCTTTTTCTTGGATAAAGCCATGATCTGAGATCTTCCTTACGACCCAGATTTTCCAGTGCATACGCTGCAGCCTGCACCATCTTCTCATATGCAAATATATTGATGTTCTCAATCGAATCACATGCTTTGTGATAGCATGGATCTTCGGTTATATCCGGAATACCACCCAAGCCTTGACCCAGAATCGCATCATATCGATTGCGCTGTTCCACGCTTTTCACACCACTAGCACCAGAAAACAAACCACCTGCAACGATACCTTCAGCTAGAAACGGACCATAGTCACTCCGACCACTGAAATCAGTGTAGTCCCACGGAAGATGCTGTTCAACGAACCAGTCACGAAATAGACTCGTGATCTTGTTACTGCCAGGCAAAGCTTGTGCGGGAGTGTCATTCTTAGCCGTGCGACCATCATAGATGCCGAAGATATAGTTAGGCGATGCAAGCATGTCATAGTTGAGGTTGACGAGATAGTCAGAAAGGCGTTCACCGATGATGGATGAGTTCTTTGCTTGTTTGACATGATGATCAGAGCCTAGAAGACCGATTTCTTCTGCACCCCACCAACAGAACCTGACTCGATATTTGAATTTGTGATAGGAAGGTGTTCTGAAGAGTCGAGCGAGTGCAACGGCCAGCGCAAGATTCGCTGCGCTGCCACTCCCTGTGAGAAGAGAAGAGAAGTGTATTAGAAAGTATCGTTAAGATGAATGTTCTCACCATTGTCATTGATGCCTGGACCACCTGGTACACTATCACTGTGACTGCCAATGATGATCGTTTGAGTAGGATCGCCCGTTGGTGTATCTGCACAGATATTGCCAACTGGAAGCGGAGGAAGATCTTTTACGTCAATCACCAGTCGTACACTGACGTTTTTTGGCGCTGTCTGAGAAGCTGTGGCGAGGGCTTGACCAACGGTAAATGATAAAAAGAGGACAGGCAGCGTATTTTCTTGAGAGACACTTATTTCTACAGGTGAAATCCGCTCCGGTGTTTGCCCGTCATTATATAATAGAACAGCTTTTGCATTGTACTTCTCTGCTAGTTGCACTTTATCTTGAAAAGGACATATGCCACGTTTAACTAAGACTATACGGCCGGCAGGTGGTGGAATCGCTGTATTCCAATCATTATCGGAACATGCCACATTGGGTATGACTGTAATTTGAGTAAAAGTTGACAAGTTAAGAGACGTGGAGAATTCAACATGATAAAAGTCAGCAACCGACAGATTCGTAGAGTATGTGTAGTTCTTTATTACACCGTTCATAGATGAAATTAAAACTGGATCGCGTGCAAGTTGAAAGTCCTTTATATTGAAGAATGAGTGTGTCACTTTTAAATTTGTATTTGCTTTAAGATAATTTGTAATGTAATCCAACGTCCGATTAAATCCTAACGTGTTGACTGCTCGAGTTCCATTTGATGCGGTAGCGATGCGTTGCAGTTCATTCAGATGACTCATTACTTCATCGATACGAATCGATGACGATAGGAATGAGTTGCTCGATTGTTGCGATCTTGCAAGACCAGTGATCGATCTTTGCTTATGGATCTGAATCTCGTCAACTTTCTTGTTAATTTTAGTCAGAGTTAGGACAGAGAGAGCAAGAATGACCGATGCAAGAACGATTCCCACTACTAGCATAGGAACCATACATTTAATATATTGAGTAGCTTTGAATTTTTTTCTGTCATCTTCAACATGGAATCCACCTTGCTGTAACATCTTGTATTCGCGTTAGACACCGTGTGTTATAGTGAAAACGATAGAATATATACTATTGCAAAGGTGATATTGATGCCTGACATTTTGAAACAAGTCGATTATACTACGAAAACAATGGTTTGTAATGTTACATAGATTTTCATTATTATCGTACTTCTGACAGTTAGCCATAGGAATGAAAAAGGTTATTAAAAAAGATCATTTTGATTTTTAAAAAAATACATTGTGAGATATAGAACATATTGGCAATATTCATAAATAAAACATCATGAATTCGTTTTGTTCCAAGATTTGTGAATTTTTCACTTAATGATCCTGATTTGCAATGAAAGTTGAATCTGATTCTTATGACCTTTAGCTATCCTGAGTCATCTGCATATAATTATACAGATAGTATAGATAGGAATGCTTCTACTGCAGGACGTTAATGTTTTTTATTTTTGAAACTGGTAGACACATGTGACATTATGTTTAAATTGAAATTGAATCGGATGTATTGCGTTTCTCTTGTTTGTATGTGTATAACACGGATGACCAGGAGATTTTATCAATAGAAAAAGAAAGAAGAGAAGAGAAAAAAGGAGAATAAGACTGAACGATTGAGCTTGTCACCTTTGGATTTATTTGCTAGAAAGAACAAACGATCGAGTAAACAAGAAGAAGAAGAGCAAGAAAGAGAAAGAGAAAGGAAAAGATAAATACCGTTCTTGAGCAAATAAATCTGCATACAAACGATTCTTTTGTATCGATCTCATGAGTTTGACCTATTGTTGATGAATGGAAGATGACAAATAAATGGTTACTATTGATATTATATCTTTTCAATACTTTCTTATCAATTAAATCTCGTGAAGCTTCATTACAATGTTGGAAATGCGAAGTGACTGCTCAATCATCCGAAGAACCAGGTGTATTTATCGATGGTACAGTTTCCTGTTTGTTAATTGCATTTGAATCATGTTTTTTGTCGTTTTAGATTGTCAAGCGCAGTTCGATTTCACTGAACATACACTCGAAGATTGTGATGGAAAATGTTGGAAGTCTATTGATTTGATCGATTTGAAACGTATAGGAAATAATAGTGAAGAACGATTGAAATTAAAAGACAAAGCTTTGGCGTCACTTCGCTCAAGTCGTCGATGTTTTTCAGCTGATGAATTACTTCGTGCGAATGAAATGGGAATTGTCACAGCGAATGGATGTCGAAAATTAAAACGAGATTCCGATAAGTCCAAAGAAATTTGCTTTTGTTCAGATCAAGATATGTGTAATCAAGTCATGAAAGTATCCAATTCTTTATTTATTCAATACGCATCTGTTCTAACTCTTTTCTTATGTCTATTGTAATATATTCTCTTTTTTTTGTATTGATAAAATATGACGAATTTTATTCGAACACAATTAATAAGATTTTGTGTGGTCATATGGCTGAAAAGTTGTTCTGAAAGACATCGCGCGTATGAACGAAAAAGACCCATGACATTTTTAGATGCTTGTTTCTTAAGTGAAAATATTTTAATAAAAAGAAAAAGTAATTTCTGTACGTTGCAAATTGTATGTTTTCTTACATATGAAATCAGCTCTGTTGATTTTGCGTATCAGAGATTATTAACATCAAGTAATGCTACCGTGTGGTGCCCTCTTTGTACTTGATGGTGTTTAGTTAGTCGACGAATCACTTGAAATGCGTCGTTTTCTCTTCATATTTCTCATTTTTTGACTTTGTACTTTTTCTATACGAACCAAATGTGGTTGGTGATATTCTGCTTTTTCATTCCGATAAGCTCAATATCTGCTGAATCTCGTCTGTTCGGACCCGGTCTTCGAGCGTCATTTCAAGTACCAGTTCGGTATTTTTACTTACAAACATATGATGCGAACGGACAGAAGTACCAACTCTTCGATGAATTTTCTATGAAACAAGAAACACTTCGTATTTTTCAGACTTAATCATTCGACACAACCGCTCAATCGAATCGAATTCCATCTAACACGTGTCTCAGATCAACTATCTGCTCACAGTTATCGTAAAGTTGATGATCTCAATGATGGTACCTATTTATTTCGGTTTCGTCTGTATGAATCCGTAAAAGATCTTCATTTGTACATTCGATTTGGTAACGAAGACATCGAGCATGTGATTCAAGACTATGTCTACTCGGACGGTTGTTATTGTCCCGAAACAAATCTGACACAATGGTTTGACTCATTCGAATGTTCGGCATCACGATCTCAACTACGAACAGACATGAAAGTCTTTAAAACCATTGATATGAAGCAAGTTTTGGAAAAAGCCACTCTGAAATATTTTCAACACCCTCAAACATACGCACTGTGCCATTATGTGATCAAAAATAACAAAGTAAACACGAAATACATATGAAACAAATACAAACGTTTGCTTTTTATGTGATAGATTTATCGAAAATGTTACGGTGAACACACAGGATTTAAAATGTTTTCCGATGCAATATTCTTATCACTTTCTCGCAAAGTAAATCTCAGAGAAGTTTTTGATTGAAAACAACGAAAAACTCTTCATTAGGTTATGCTACCCGACGTGGAATTTCTCATGAATTTAGGTGATTATCCACTGAGTGATACGAACGATGATCCGCTACCGATTATATCATGGTGTGGCTCAGAACAAACTTATGATATTATTCTACCAACATATGAGATAACAGAAGCTACACTTCAAATGTTGTCAAGAACTACACTTGATATCTTTGCTATGAGTACGACGCGTCATTTACCTTGGTCGAAAAAGATTTCGAAAGGATTTTTTCGTGGCCGAGATAGTTGTCCCGTAAGTCTATTTTGTATTGTATGTTTTACAGAGAAATGATTTGTTTCTCTAGGAACGCCTTGATCTTGTTCGGTTGTCTCGCAAGCATCCTGATTTGCTTGATGCTAATCTTACTCGCATGTTTTTCTATCGCGATCAAATATCCGAATTTGAACCATTTGCGCCACATGTTCCAATGCCGGAATTTTTCGATTATAAATATCAAATATCTCTTGATGGAACTGTGGCTTCATACCGTTTGCCTTATCTCTTAGCTGGTGATAGTTTGATATTCAAACAAAATAGTTCCTACTACGAACATTTCTATCAAGATCTCATGCCACATAAACATTATATACCAATCAAGAAAGATCTGTCGGATTTAATTGAACAGCTTCAATGGGCAAAAGCACACGATGCTGAAGTAGGAGATTCCCTTCGAAAATGTACCTATTTAGTTAAATCTTGATTTGCTTTCAAGGCTCAAACAATTATTAAACATGCACAACGCTTTACTCAACGAAATCTTCTTCCTAATCATATTCTTTGTTATCATGTCCAAGTTTTACAAGAATATGCTGAACGTCTAATCTCACCTGTGCAGATTCATTCCGATATGGAATTGGTTCAGCACGAAACAGATGAAAGTCATATAAAAAAAGATAACTGTCATTGTCATCGTTTAGAGGTAAACTCATCACAAGCTGAAATCATTCATAGTGAAACATAGATTTTTCTTTATTTAGAATCTCAAACATGTCGATCTGTGATAATTTTTCGTGTTCAGAATGAATTTTTTTACTTGAGACTGTTCTCTTTTTTTGTAGATGAGTACGAATACAGGTTATGGTGCTCGTGCATCTGGAATTATTTATTCATGTTTAATAAAGAATAATAGTGATGCTGAAGTAACGATTCAAGTGGAATTCAGTGGTCTGGCAGATCATCATCGTGAAGTAGTTGACATTGAATTAGCTAAAGGTGAAGAACAAATTGTGGATGAGAAGGAATTTGAGCATGGAGAACAGCAAACAAAATATCGGAAAGGAATTGAATTGATTCGAGTGAAACAGTTCGATGGAAAAACGATTGAATTGAAAAAGCCATTTAATGGAGTTGCTTCACCGAAACAAAATTGGGTTTTCGAAATTGAAAATGATGCTATAAAATCAGTGGACCCACAAAAATAATCATTCATTGTGCAATGGGATAGGACTTTTTTGATTCATTTTGTGCAATCATTCGCCAATCTATTTTATCCAAAATAAATAATCGATAAATCTGCTTTTTTGCATGCGAATCATATGTTGATTTCATGAACAAAACATATGGTCTATCACGATTGAATTTTACAGAGGTATCTGCAAAATACCGAGAGACTCATTTCACCTGACACACTCATTATTATTAACAAATCATTAGGGCACCGCCTATAACCACTCGTCATATTCTGTTCATGTCACTCTCTCAAGTGACAGAGGAACAGTCGATAAGAAAAACTTGATAAAGTGCAGAAATAGTTTATTCCGATTAGTATTCAAAATGTAAACTGCTGATGCCACGATTTCTAATACCATGCCTGAGAAGAGGAAAGATTTGTTCTTTGCAAAAAGAAGAACTCCAACTGACAAATCTTCGTCTTCTGTAAGTGTTAGCGGTCACGAGTGTTCTCGCTACTGTCTCTCTCTCTCTTCATCTCAACCGTGTCACGTCCACATACACTCCTTCTCATCTCTCTTTCGTTTTTTTTTTCGAGAAAGAATGATACCTACGATACCATTCGTTCTCTTTGTTCTCCTGGTTTTCTCGTATATATGTGTGTTTGGCACAGTATACGGGGAATGATCCGCCTTTTGTTCGCCTTGATATGCATAACTTCAGTGCCCTGCAGACAGGCTCACAGTAAGATATTGAAAAATATAGCATCATATTACATACAAATATCGCTTTTCGCCTATGTCCATATAAAATCCCTTCAGTATGAAAAACGAATACAGCTGTATGCTAAAGTGTTCATTTTCGACCTATACTCAGCAGAATATCAACCTTGAATGCAAACCAATTGTCTTGATCAGCTATTTGTGTTAGCAGTTTGTATAGTTTTTCTTTCCGAATGACCATAGCAAGAAATTGACCTTTTATAACGGATATTTCAGTGCAAATACGAGTATAAATAAATATTCAGTTTGATTTTTAAGCGAGATTTCTCGCTCGTATGATTCATGTTTGTATTATATAAAATAAACACGTCTGTCAATTTATATTCACGCCGAATGACGGAGAGAAAAAGAGAAAAACTTCCATGACGACTGTAAAGAAAAAGTTTATTTCATGGTTGCGTTTGTTCTTTAAATAAGACTGAATGAAATAGGAACAGTATTTCCCTTTTACCGATGACAAAGAACGGTGATCTTTTCTGTGCAAAACTTTTCCCACGAGCTTAGGAAAAGAGTTCTTATTATTTCTACGTAAAATGAAACCATTTACCCATCGCTTCTCTCATGACAGTGTATATTTTGTTCGATACCAAGCGCAATGAATGTGAATGTCATGCTCTTTTGTATCCATATTTTATTACACTTGTGTTGCTAGTTATTTATTACTTTTTATGCATTCTTTTATCTAGAATCGGTGGGACATGTTCAGATTGAGCTATGCATTAAATAGTATTCGTCGAAAAATTCGTTATGCCATTCAGTCGGCTCGGAACCATCGCAGTCTCACTTTATTTCTAATAGTTATTCTTATTCTTGTGGGAATATTTCACAAAGAAATTATCTATCATCTTTATTTGCAAACGATTAATGTTAAATCATATAGAAATGCGATTACTTTTTGGAGCAGCGACTACCATATAAGGTAAATCTTCCATTCGAAAAAATGTTTTTCTTATTTGCATATATTCTACGTTATTCATTAGTCCTATTCAAGATCTGAAGACTATCCTCATTCCACTTGGCGTCAAGTTCTTCGATAAAAGTCTTTCATATAGTTGCTCACGAACAGGAACATGTTATTCACCTTTACGAATCCTAACACGTAAGAATGCAGAAAACCCATCGAAAGAACTTGCCATGCAATTCTACGAATTCTACAAAGATCAACTCGAAATGAATCTCGTCGATGCATTCGTTTGCTTCCATCCCGTTGGCATGTGTGAACTCTACATGCCATTCAATCGAACTATCATCATCATTGCCTCAACACGATATGAACTCTGGAGATTCGATCCATCTTCATGGATGAAACTCAATGAAAATCTCAAACAAATTGCACAATATCCCAAGAATATCATTGCTGCAAATAATCTCTATGATGTGGAATACATTCGTTATTTCACCGGAATCAACGCTACACTTCTACCGAGTTTTTGTAATTATACGAATGTTGACTACAATCCCAGTAGAGAAGAATTCTTAATCGCTCCAATTCACGTCAAAGATTTCGAAGTTCTATTTAAAAAATTACTTCGTATTTCTTTACAATCACACTCTATAGAAGTCGTACCAATCAGAGAACTCTATTCTAATTATGAATATTCCGATCTAGCTAAACATCCCGCTATTATCTATGTGCCTTATCAAGTTTCTGTGATGAGTTTATTCGAACAATATCGAATGAACATTCCATTGCTATTTCCTTCATTAGATCTTCTAACACAATGGCACTTAGAATTCTCTGTAGTCAACGAAAAAACATGGGATCAAGCTTGGTACGGTACAATCCCGAATGGTTCGCGCATTCCTGGTGTGCTGTCGGGTGTTCCCGATCCAAATAATGATCGCGATCGAACATCTGTTCGTTACTGGTTGAACTTTTCTGATTTCTACCAATGGCCACATATTACTTACTATGATTCAACGGATGATCTTGTGCAAAAACTGACCACAACAGACTTTCCATCGATCAGTAAGAAGATGAAAGAACATAACAAACAACTGAAAGAAAACTTGCTGACAAAATGGAAAGAAATCCTAGATAATATCAAGCGATATTCGCCAAAGTTTTACTAGCTCGTTTCTCAAAAATCAATCTAATAAAAAGAGCCGTAAACATTTCTGTGATAGCCAGATATTTTCTTTATTTTCATAATTGTAATGTATACTCATAAAAATAAATGTTTATAAGGTATGAATACTGCTTGAGATTTTCTCGCTAGAATTACATATACGGTGCAATTTTATACTGAAACGAATGGCAAGTTACTAAGAAAATTGAATTTCAGCGCTGTTGAAATACTTCTCTTTCTTTTATGAAAACATTTCGATTATTTCATCTGAAATCAAATTAATTCTTATGTATACATATGAACACACCACTCTACAATTAAATGAATATCATTCGTTCACTACGGCAGTTCTTCATTTTCTTCAAAAATACTTCAATCAATTTCACCGAGCACTAACAAACTATTCCACTATCCTCAAACATCTTCAGACAAAATCATCTTTTCTCTCATCGAATACAAATTCGTCTCATTCACTAAACAAACATCTACATCACGCTTTGTCATCCATAATTCAAATAGTTAATGCTGAATGTCAACATTTCGAACAACGAAGTCAGTTTCTCCGATCCATTCATTCAACAGCGAATGAACTTCATCAACAAATCATTTCATCGAAAATTTCCAAGCAAAAACGTCACTTAAACAAATACACTCATCGAATCACACGTTTATATCGCCAGAAAAAACGACACTACCTACATCAATTACTCCCTCAAATACGAAAACACGAAAAACTCACAATATCCTACAAAGATCATTTGAATAGCATAGCATCGCAAACCACAGATCTTCTATGGAAACTGTTTTCATATTCGCCATATAAACATCATGTTAATTTAACTGAAACATCGTTGGAAAACGAACCGACAATTACCATTCCACTAATCGAAAGCAAAATTGAAAATATCCATCTATCACCTCCTCTTGAATTAGGTTCAGGTGATTCATCACATTTTCAAGCAACAAAAGAAGAGCGACGAAATCCATCAACAATCTTCTCAAATGAGATCATTGCTGCCGAAGATCTATTAAACAGTGACGATGATGACACACAATGGTTGAATATCACCGAACAGAAAACAACAGGTGTATCAATCAATCTTAACAACAACAACCGAAAACGATCATTTACACGAAAGAAAGACATAGTAAAATCGAATGATTCACTACATCTATCTGATATAAGTTATACAACTGATTATTATTCGCAAAATGAATCAGACTGAAGTACATTGTCAACAAATATCTTTATATTAGAGAACAGATCGGTGTAACATCGAACTAAAATTAGATTTGTAATGATAGGAACAATCGATCAATTTGTCAAGAAAATAAAAACGTTTTCTTCGACTCAACTAATTTGTTATCTGATACGTCTTCATTTACAGAAAAAACATTTCGACGTTTTTGCTTTGAGGAAAGACTCTTGGCAAATGTGAATTCTCACTAAATATATATTTTTCTCTTTCAAATTACGTATTGCGACATTTTTTACGATCGTTCGTTTTGATGGTAAGACAGTCACATCGATTCTCATATATTTATTTCAATGAAACGCAAGATATCGAGATATCGCAATTGCTTGGAGTACTGTTTATGATTTGAGCATGAAATTAGATGAGAAATACATATAAATGTCGCATTTTTGTGTTCTATGTCCAATAGCCAACAACCATCGTACAACTGTTTGTGCTACTCGTAACGTATTTGTCTAAGATAAAGCCGATTTTTGAAAACGGATTCGGAGGAGAAGTGGGGTAGATTTTGTTCGGCAAAGAATATTCATTGTTGTTCGAATATTTGCACAAAGCAAAAAAGGAAAGAATTTATTGGTCAGTCCTTTTATGAAGTCATATAAGATACAATTAGAAATGTAATTAATGAAAAGAGAGTGATGAAAGAGATCATCAAAACAGTAAATATCAAACGTTTTTGATATTCGGTCATCAGTTCGTAATAATTTCAGAAAAAAATGATAATAATAATCAAAAGAAAAGGAGCTCCTTGTTTAAATGTTCTTGCTATTCAATCGAAGCGAATAGATCTATTTGAGAATAACCCAAAACGCATGAATGATACCGAGAATCCAAAAACCGACGATAGTTAAAACTAGGTTAATAATAACTTGATTATTGCAAGTTTTCTGATGAAGATAAACGGCCAATGGTGGAATAAAAATCGCAAGAATAATTAAAAGAAGATCAGCCATGTTAATAACGTTGTTTCGATTACTATATACTCAGGTTTATATGGAAAAAAAGTGAATATAAATTGTTCGCTTTTTTGTAACAACGAGAGAAAGAGAAAAGGAGAGAGGTAAGACATTTCTCTTCGGGGGGAGAGAGAGAGACACACAGAGAAAATGAAGAGATGCTGAATATTTTTTTTTGTATGCAAACGTGTCACTTATTAGTTTAGTCAATCCAATGGAGTAATAAAACATTGTAGACACATGTCTATTCAACAAACGAAATATGACCTAGGTGAGCAAATATCGGTAAATGAAAGTAAAGAAAACGATCGAGCTATATTATGTTCTCTATGTTTGATTACCACGTCAATAGGATCCAATTTCGTCAGCTTTACTTGAAACTTTCAAGGATTTTGTATACTTCCTTCGTCAGTTATGTTTCCTAATAAATGATTCTACTGCTTTCTTCGAGCAGTTGTCATGAGTATAAGAAATTAATCATATTGTCCTTTCATACTAATTCAAACCATTGATTTAATCTCTAAAGTCAACAAAACAATCTCAAACCTTTGATTTAACATTATCAAAAATGCAGATGTTCGTTAGTACGGTCATACCACAGATTATGATGACAAAATATCATAGTGAGAGAGTACATGGATTATGTCTGATATTTCGAGGGAAAATACGAAGTAAACTGAACTTCCGTTGGGAAAAACATTTTATCGGTTGATTTCAAGTACGTGCTTTACTTCTTTCAACTTTCATCACCCAGGTACTTTAAAATATGTCGTCTTCTGCTATCACTATGGTTTTTTTTTTCTCTCCCGTCGTGTGTAAATGAAGAAAATGTTCCTATCGAAACACGTATCGCTTGATTGTTCAATTAGAATAATGCGAGACAATAAAAAAAATAGTGAATTTTCTACAAAAAAAAGACATCATCACACAGCGCATGATTATACGAAGAAAGTGAGAATTTTGTTCATTGAAATTGTTCGATCATATCTCCAGTTTCTTTGTTGATATATCCAAAAAAGATTAATAATTTCAAGAATTTGAATTTACACCAGCGTTCCATTCGATCTTTACTACAAAAGAACAAAAAATCCGACATTGTAATGTGTATAGACAGTTTCGTTTCTTACAAAAGTATCAAATCGAAAAGCAATAATTCTAATCGAGCATAAATACGATCTTTTAATAATCGACGCGGCCCTTCATGTTTTCGAGCACCAAGTATAGCACTAAAAATAAGTAAATATATCCATTTTCAAGGTAAATCTTTCGTTTGTCTGTAAGACGCGTTTGTTATACTTCAATTCACACAATGAATCCCAAGAAAATTCTACTATATTAATAAATATGATTAGATATTCTCTAAGATGATTGCATGTAAATAGTTCTCTCACGAAAGACGCTCAGGAAGAGTCGAACTCGTTTGGAAAAACTTTTCTCCTCACCTTCGAGCCATGATGGTATGTCGATCGATAAGATTTCCATGATCACGAATCGTTGATCGTATTTGGTTTAAGTTCCTATTAAAAAAAGTTCAATGATATTCATTATATAAAAAAAGACGCTGAAGAAACGACGAAGGTTGATTGTTGCACGTGTATACATTCGAAAAACTACCTAAGCACAAGAATGAGTTTGTCTGGCAATTGTTTAAATACATCGATAACTTGATCCATTGTTTGTCGAGCTTTGAGTTGGATTCGAGCCATTTCTTCTTTAGTTATTTTCTGTCGAAATGAAACTCTTCCAGCTCGAGAACGCAATGATTGCATTATCAAAATCTCCGCAAATAGACGATGATATTTCTCTATATACAACATCGCCAATAAGAACTCAATCGTTTGAACATGATCAAACACACACACACAATTATTTAGAAAAATCAACGATGACGATGACTAACCTTAGTATCATTAGTAGCGAGCGAGGCATATCTTGGAGAGTTCGGAGGACACTATCTTGAATGTCGTTGAAAATGACCGAGAAATCTTTGCGAATGGCCATTTTCTGCTGCGGACTTAGAGTTAGAAATTCTCTTTCGGTCTATGAGGATACGAGAAGAAAGTAACATTGGAAGATTCAACAAGAGGATATTCTTACAGGAAGACGAATTTTCCCTTGTTCGCGAGCAGCTTTTTGTTCATCAGCTGACATTTTATCCCAAACTTCAGGTAAAATTGCTAGTTCATGAATAGGCCGATGGATTGGTCGCATAGAAAGAACCGTTGCAAATGTCAGATAATCCTTATCTATACCAAGAAGATTGCAATGATTTATCGTCATCATTTTCTTTTTCATATAATTGTGTATGTTTCTCGAAGAACACACATCACTTACCTTGTACACCAAGTTCCGTCGCATATTGCTTCATTTTCAGCTCATCTTTCAGTATGATTGCTTTCCACAGTTGACACAATGCTGCTCGATCTTTCGCACTGATATCTACATATAAACCATGATCGAGTAAAACGATTTGTACATCAGATTTGGCTGGAGCTTTCGGATCTCGTCGAACATAGACATTTCCTGGCTTTAGAAAAAGAGAACATGATTGTATTGATAAAAAAAATTCAATGTGACATACGTGAGGATCGGCATGTACAAAACCTGAATGGAAGATTTGAAACGCCATCGCTTCTACAAGTTTCGTATCGACTTCTTTCAAAGATAAATCGGATTCTTTAATTTTATCCAAATCTGAAACTTTGATTCCATCGATATACTCCATGACTAGTACTCGAGTCGTTGTATACTCCCAAAAAACTTTTGGAACATAGATATATTTCAAATATGGAGATAATTGAGCATAGCATAGATCGGCATTTTCACCTTCTAATTTAAAATTAAGTTCACGTTCTAAGTTGGTTTTAACTGAATCAATCATCCAGCCGAATTCGAATTTTGGAAAGATTTTCCCTAGTGCATATAAGATCATTCGAATAGTTAATATGTCACCGGTAAAACGATCTTGTAAATCAATATATTGCAACTTCACTGCCACACGTTCATTAGTTGATTTCAAACGACCTTCATAAACTTCGGCAAGTGATGCAGCAGCGATTGGTTCAGGAGAAAGATAAGAAAATATATCTGATGCTTCACAACCGAATTCTTCATCAATTAACTGACTAACCTAAACGAATCAAGTGAAAAATTTTCAATAATTGAAGGAGAGATTTACTTCGTTTCGTTGTCTTCTTAAAGCTTTGTCTTGTAGTAGACGAAGGCCATCGGTATATTCTTTCGGTAAAATATGATCAGCACTGACCATTCCTTGGCCCATTTTGACGTATAAACCACCATTTTCAATACATCCTTGCGCTATTCGAGTTGCCGCTCGTGAGTGACACTCTTTCAGTTTTTCATCATAATCTGGTGATGTGTCTGGTACGGTCCAAAAGAGATACTTATAATCAATTGCAATAAGAAGACCAATTTGAAATGATCTATACGATGGAAACTATGAAAATGACTTCGAGAGTTAACCAACAACTACAAACCGAAATCCACGTTGAAAACCTTGGAAGGTTACTCTTACTTGTCGTCGTTCTTTCGGTGTGAGATAATAGAAATAATAAAGACTACCACCTCCACATACCAATCCATTAGCAATCAAAACATTTCGTAAAAAACGTCGACTACGATCTTTGCCATGAACTCTCTCAGCAACTGATCGAACTGTATTGGAACTATTGTTCGATGTGAAAGTTTTTATTATCGATCGATATCGATACGATGGTAACAACAATGAACTAGCTCGAAATGTACTCATATGTATTTATCTAGAATAACAACAATCGAAAAATTTCTTTCCAATACTTGACCAAACATGTATTTCGATTAAAAATATACAAAAATAAATCCATTCCGTATCGAGAAAAAAAGTAAACCGGCTAGTACTTTTTTGTGTTAGTTAATGTTTTATACGTTTGGCTCTTCTACTTGAAATCGAATCTGTTGACGATATATCAGTATCTTGATCCATAGCGGAGTCATCATTGGTCGCAGAGCGCTTACATGTCTTTACGGGTGAGAGCTGGCCGTTCATAATTTTTTCAACGCGATTCGTATTTTCATGGTCATTTGCTAGCCATGGATGTTGAAGTACACCAGCTATAGTCAATCGTTTGTTTGGATCAACACACATCATTTGGCGAATGAGATCTTTGGCAACATCGGAAACATCTGACCAGAATTCATCAGGAAATGTATAAAGACCTTTGAGAATTTGTTCGGTTAAGGGTGATGAATCAGGCGATTCACTAAACGGTGGATAGCCAACTAAACATATGTATAAAACAACACCTAAACTCCAAACATCGACTTTATTTGTATAACTTCCTTCGCCACGGCTTGCTAAAATCTCCGGTGCTACACAAAAGCAAAAAAACAAGTTATCAGATATTTCCATTTGCATTTTTACCGAGATAGTTTGGTGTTCCGCAGAATGTTTTCATCAATGATGTTTCGTTGATTAATCTTGATAGACCAAAATCAGTTATTTTAATTAATGTTTCAGTCGTTTCTGGTGACGTCAACAAAACATTCTCTGGTTTCAAATCACGATGTGTTATTGAACTGTCATGGAGATATTTCACCCCGATACACATTTGACGAAAGAGAAATTTACTTGTACTTTCATCGAACTGACCATGAGCTACAATTCGATCAAACAATTCTCCACCTTCAACTAATTCAAGTATGATATAAAGTGCATCGTGAGTTTCATGAACGTCATGAATACGAATGATACATGGATGGTTTAAACGTTGTAAGATTGAGCATTCACTTTTGATTTGTTGATTGAACACTAGAGCTTGTGGACCAATATGTGTAAACGTCTTTTTAGCGATAATCTTCATAGCATAACGATCACAAGTATCTACACGAAAAAGACAGTCGATTAATTTCAGAGTGGAAGGAAAGATAATCATGAGGCATTCTTTTGTGCTTGGAAATTACCTCGTAAGAAACACAATTTTACTTCACCATAGGCACCTCGTCCAATTTGTTTTGAAACAATGTATTTCTGTTTGATCACAGCTGGAATTGAAGTATCTTCTGATGCCTTTGCATCCATATAGATATACACGCGATGCGTTTTGGACGATAAAGCGATTTCAGCGTTATTTTCTAAGATTTGTTTTTTACTCTTACCAATTTTCTCTCCATTAACATACGTGCCATTCGATGACAAGTCTTCTAGATACACATAGTTGTTGATTTCATCACGAATGATCTTGAAATGCACAGACGAGTAAGTTGGATAATATTTTGTCGTTTGAATTTCACTGGAATCAAATTTGATTGAACAAGTTTTTCCACGCCCGAAGGAATACTCTTTTCCGCTCAAGCTTAGAGGCGAAAAGAGTTTATTCAAAGATAATAGTCGACCCCAAACATCTGGCTGCTGATTAATATCTGCATCATCATCTGTTCCATCGAAATTTTGCGTATTTTGTGTTGGCAAACTTAACGTCTGAATTGAAAAACGAAATAGTCAAATGCATTCGAAGAGAAAAGATTTTCAATTCACAAACCATTGGCATCGGATCGTCCATGCTGGAATCAATGGAGTTAGTATTGTCAGAAAATAGAGTATTTCTCTTCGAGATAACTCAAGGTTACAAAACATTGACAGACGGAAATTTTAGTAAAAGATGGATATGACTATAATGGCCAATAAAAACTTTTCGGTAAACGACAAGTGACATCTGTTAAACTAAGTACCAGAAATATTCTACTCATGATCGTTCAATTAGCAATGTTAATTTCTACACAAATATATATATGAATGCCGACCTATAGATATCGATATAATGAGGAGTTATTCAGAGCTTTTCCCGATACTCTACGTAAAAGTTTATTAGACTGTGGTATAGAAATGATATTTGCTAGTCGTTTCACTTATTACGAAGAATGTTTTCGATTGCTTGAATTACGCGAAGATTTCGAACATCGACATGAAGATGAGATGGATCGAGATAATTACAAGCAAAACCATACGATAATTGATAGGAAGGGTATGCAAATGCACAACTCCCACCATAGCCTATTTTAAGCACAAGAAAATTGCGTCATATTGATACTATGATAACCAGAGTAGGACTTACCAGTAAAACCAAAAGCTCCATCGCTAAATATGGGAAAACATTCGCCGAATAGCTGAAAGCCACCCTTAGCAAAGCTTGTTGGCATATTACTACAGTATAAATCAGATTCGCCGACCGGTGTAACGTTTTCTGTTGCTTCACACAATGTCTTTTCGCTTATTAAACCCTTTCTAATCTTTCCATTTTCGTTAACGTCACCAAGAAGTAAAGCATAAATCCGAGCCAATGATCGGGCTTTGGTTATTCCATTAACAGCAGGCAACTCTGCTTGATGGCAAGCAATTTCATTATAGATCATTTTTGGTTGTCCTAATGGAAATGCATCACTGCATGATAATCCCTTATTGTATGTTGGATCTGATGGACGGACATTGGTAGTATTAACCTGAAATCGATGAACTAAGCATGTCATTTGTCAATCAAATCGTCCTGATTAACTTACCACTTTACGAATAAGAGGTGAAATTCGTGCTTCAATGGTAGCATCTGGTATACCGACATAAAATTCACTGTCTAATTCATCACGAACAAACTGACCGTACGTTCGATGATGTGGATCAACTCGCCGGATCAATTCTCCTCCAAGATAACCAACTGTATGAGCATGATAGCTATGCGCTGTTCCTGGCTCCCAATGAGGTTTCTGTGCAGCTAACAAAGAAGTCATACGAGACCAGTTAAATGCATCATCAATTGTAAGTTTCTCATCAACAAATGATAGGCCAGCTCGATGTGCTAATATCTCACCGATAGTAATGTTCTTCGAAGAAAAACAATATCATGTAAATCATGCTCGATGGAAATACAACCCTACTTCTTTTTCATTAGCAGCGAATTCCGGCCAATATTTAGCAACAGGTGCATTGTAATCAAGCCAATTTCTTTCTACACACAAGGCAATAGCTGCTGCAAGAATACCTTTCGATGTTGAGAAAACCAATTGTAATGTATCTAACGTGTAAGGTTCTTTTCTTGTTTCTCCATCTTTCCAGCCGCCGCTCAATTCCACAACACATTTTCCTTGATGATAAATACATAAACTTGCACCAACATCGAGCCCATCAGACAAATTCTGTTCGAAAACAGAATGCACTTGCTCCCAGCCTGGCGTCACGTGCCCGTACGAACATTGCGTACTATTGCTTTCACTTCGCGTTGATGACATTAACAAATGTTTTCATTCGTTTGGTCTCCACACTTCTATGTGCCTTTTCTTGATAAGTGAATCATCAGTGGCCAAATAAATACTTAGTAGTACTTTATTTTGCCTTTCGATCAAAAGTGACCTTCTATAATAGGAAACAAGTCATTTTCTGAATTTTTTTTATTCGTTTGTCGTTCTTTCCAATCGATTGCAGTAAGCATTCACGAAAAGAAACTATGATGAATAGAATAGGATAATAGTGACAACATATCCTTATTTTGAGACAGATGAAACTCAACTACTGTGGTTACTTTTATTTTATTAGAACGTGTCTTCTTCATTCGTCAAGAAAACAGATATTCCATGTATTGTCTATAGAGTGAATGTTATTTGTTGAATGTTGTCACTGTATTTTGAAATGGTACAACAGGTGTCGTTCCACGTACGATACTGATAATCACTTGACGAACTTCGCGATCTAGAACTAGTGTAAATATCTTTTCTGCAGTAATAGTGAATGTTATATTGACTAGACTAATCAAATAAATGACTTTGATTGAAGTGACGAAGTACAAAAACGTTGCTAATGATCCTCCAAGATAAATCAATAATAGAATCAGAATATTTCGCAGAAGTTGAAGATCACGTTTTTGACTATGCATCGCATTGGTAATCATCGTTGCATTTCTTGACGATCCGCGAACATGTTGATATATGCAAACATAAATTACAAGAATAACTACAACAGGAATCACATAGACAAACAATAAATTGACAGTCAAATGTATCATCCTATTCACTGGTATCCAACATAATGTTAATGGAGTCATTTGAATATCCTTTGTGATGAGAACAGATAATGGAATCAAAATAACAGTAAACCATTGAATACCTATCAGGATGAAATGCGTTCTGAATGTTGATAAAAATCGGTACTTTGTTGAAAATATTGATACAAACAAACGTGATATGGATTGAATTAAATATGAATAGATCACGCCGGATATTCCGATATAAGCGAAATAAGCTCGGTATCGACAACTCATATTATCTAAATCCCATGGAACAAATATTAAGTAAAGGTAGTTATTTATAATAACCAAACAATACACAATTGATGCAAATGCTGTGTTACAAATTAACAAATGATTTATTGTATGTAAACGCGGTTTTGTTTTCCACACGATAATAAATATAAATAGACTAATTAAAATAGATATAAGTGCGAATAGTGTAGATAATGCGCAAACAACGTAGTAGTCTTCAATACGGAAACGACCGGTGGTATTTGATACCATTTTGAGAGTAAGAAAGATAGAAGTGAAGGGCATTCGAAGTTTACATTGTTTTTTTTTTAAGGAAATCTTCAGGATGAATATTCTATATGACAGTAAATGCATCATTTATGCATCGCAGACCAACAAATATCAATAATTCAGCTTTCCTTATTTCAAAGTGTCATTCTAAATTTTCCCAACAATGCTTTTTCTATCTCTCTTTCAAGTCGTGGATGTTGTGCTAATGTCCTCGTTTATTCTTTTCATACTTTGTTATATGATTCCGGTGTTTCAACTATTCATGTCAGATTACTATCACTAAGATTTGTTTTCCATAATGAAAACAAGTCATCATCTGGACTCCTACCATTCGTTTATCTTTCTTTCCAATCGATCCGTACATATATATGTATATATGTATATACATAAGTGCATGCGTGTTAGACACTTACGAAAAGTCACGATGATGAATAGTACAGTAGTGACAATGTATCATCATTATGAATCAGTTGACGATCCAACTGCTGTTAGTGAAATTGAACTGCGTGATTATGATTCGTCGGGTGCTACTTTATTCTTAATTGTTGTGATATTTTGGTATGCATTGAGCATTGTGTGTATGTTAGGTATGCAAATTCGTGGTCGAGCTGGCACAATTGAAGATTGTACAACACGTCGAGCGAAATTATTCTTGCAAACACTTCGTGTTCAAACACAAACGAAGCAAATTCTTGGTAGTGCAACTTCGAGAGAATGAATTCGAGATTTTTTCGTTCTTTCATGTTTAGAAGAACTCGTTGATACAGAAAAACGTGAAAGATTTTGGAATATCTATTTTGAAAAAACAGATTATAACAAAGAGAAACTAAAACGTGCCGAACGACATCGAACACGAAACATTAGGAAACAATTAGCGGCTATTAATCGCAATCGTCTGATTATGAATGAGACGATGTTAACGCCTGTTGTCAATGAACGTGCTCATCGAGCATCGATTACTTCACAATCAACACTGATTCCACATTTATCAGCTATTGAAAATCAACCGCGGGATCGACGTCGATCTTCTTTGGATCAACAGATTATCGAACGATGGAAATCATTAGTTGAACAAAGTAATGCACACGAACAGTTACCATGGCCATTTCGAAAACATCTTATTTGTCGTCATTTTCGACGTTATTGTAAAAATTCATCTGACGAATGTGTACAAAATCCAACTCGCTTGATGAACTCATCGACAAGCCATGAAGAATTCAGACAAACGAATGATGATCAATGTCATCTATTACCACCAGATCCGTATAATCATAGTAAATATTCAAATTATTCGCCGAACGAACCAAACAGTCCATCAAAATTGTGTGTAACTTCTTTTCAGTCACCTGTCAGATATCATTCACAATCAAATATTCAAAATTTACCAATTATTACGATCAAATCTGATCATGAAATCGTTCACTTGTATCATGATGAATCCCGTTGTTAGAAAGCAATCAAATTTCTTTGAATTTTTATACATTGTCTTATAAAATAGTCAATAAATTCCAAGATTGAAGAACGTTCCAGTAGACTTTTCCTATTCTTCGAGTAGATGTCACTGTAATGTGTCAGACCAATCTTTTCCAGTGATTGATTGGTTCTTCATATTCGCCATAGACTTTTGGATGAAGTAATGCACACCACAATTGCAAAGCGAATACAGACGTAATGTGAACTCGATTGATCTCGGTTCGCATATACACGCTCAGGAAAGCAATTGATATTTAACGTGAAAACTAAACTACTTCAGCTTTTTGACAAATAGAAAAACGTATTGAATGATATGTGGTTACGTAATCTTCATTCCTCTTCTAGATTATGTCTGTTCATCTACTGAAACTGCAACGATATTGGAGTCATTTTGATCAATGTCTTAGATATCCTCATTCGTTAAATAAATGGAATCAAGTCTATGTAAAATTGACATGGAATAGTTTTTTTTTACTTTTGAACTTTCTTGTTTGTCTAGAGACTCTTTAGCAATGTTTCGAATGTATCGTCTCCAGTAGCTCATCGGTTAAATACAGTTGTACCAAAAGGTTTTGAAAAATACTTTCCTGGTAATGGCGGCAAAGGACCAAAACCAAAAGATCCAGGTATAAGTTTTTCGCGTTCTTTTCAGATCTATTCAGTGTGATTTCTTGTTTTCAGCCGGAAGTCAACGTCCACCGGCACCGCCGAAAGAACCTGCACCTGGTGAAACACCGCCTGAAGGTGGACAACCTAAACCAGTGACACCCGGTCCAAGTCCGGGCGGTCGTGGAGCTCCTTCGCCGCCTCCATCAGGTCGTAGTACAGGCAGCGGTGGTGGTAGCGGTTGGCGTGGCCTAGAATTCAAATTTACACCAGGAGATCAAAATCCGTTTTTTAACAATCGTACAGCTCTTGCTCTTCTCATTGGCGGTGGTATTGCTGCCTACTTTTCGTATAATAATACTTTATACAGAGAAATAACATGGAAAGAATTCGTTTCCACTTATCTCTTGAAAGGATATGTAAGTTCAGTGAATGTTCATACTTTGAGGAACGTGAGTACTATTCAAATGCAATCTTCTACTAGGTAGATAAACTCGAAGTTGTCAATAAGAAATGGGTTCGCGTTAAACTTCTTCCTGGCGCACCAGATTCGCTGGTTTGTATTCTGTTTCAAGATTTTCACACTGATTTACTTTCGTTTCAATCTCGGTTCAGCATAGTTTATGGTTTGCTATTGGATCAGTCGATTCATTTGAACGCAACCTTGAAAACGTCCAAACTGAACACGGAATTGATGCCGGTGGTTACGTACCAGTCTTGTATAAAACAGAAGCTGATGCAAGTACAGTATTAAGTGCAGCGTCATGGTTATTGCCGATTGTTTTCTTTGTCTGGTTATTTCGACGTGCTGGTTCTGCGATGGGACAAATGGGTGGATTAGGAGGCAAAGGATCTGGTGGAATGTTCGGCATAGGAAATACAACAGCAAGAATTGTCAAAGAGAATGTTGGTACATCATTCAAGTAAGATTTTTGTCAAAAAACAAATCACGACTCATGCATGAATGCATTTCTAGAGATGTAGCTGGATGTGAAGAAGCTAAACTTGAAATCATGGAATTTGTTAATTTCTTAAAAAATCCTCAACAATATCTTGATCTCGGAGCGAAAATTCCTAAGGTAAACTGATGATAAGTTTTGCCATCTTTCTATCCATTCTTTCTGACAGGGTGCTATTCTAACTGGACCGCCCGGTACAGGTAAGTTACAAGAAAATCGAATCAAACAATGATCGACTATTTGTGCATTTAGGAAAAACTTTGTTAGCAAAAGCGACCGCTGGTGAAGCTGGTGTACCATTCATAACCGTATCTGGCTCTGAATTTCTCGAAATGTTCGTTGGTGTTGGTCCATCTCGAGTATGTTTCTTTTTTTTTATTCAATTGAACTAACTAGAATTGCCATTGGATTTCTCTAGGTTCGTGACATGTTTGCATTAGCACGTAAGAACGCACCATGTATCCTATTCATTGATGAAATCGATGCTATCGGACGAAAACGTGGTGGTCGTTCAATGGGCGGACATAGTGAACAAGAAAATACTCTCAATCAACTTTTAGTCGAATTAGATGGTTTCACACCGCAGCAAAACGTAATTGTTTTAGCAGCAACAAATCGAATGGATATTCTCGATTCGGCTCTGTTACGTCCAGGCAGATTCGATCGA